AACCTCGGTCTATTTCACACCTAAGACAATCAAATCAATATTTAATTTGAAAATTAACAAATATAAAACACAAAGGGCCAGCCAAGTAGGTCAGCGAATTAAAGCATCTGCAAGCAGGTGCAGGGGCCAGGGGTTCCAGCCCCAGGCCTGCCATGCTGGACTCGCCCCTTGGGGCATGTTGAGATGGCAATTGAGAATGGGTGCAGTGGTGAGCACCTGTAATCCCAGCTCTTGGGAGGCTGTAAACAGGCGGATCACTATAAGTCCGATCTAGTAGTGAGACCCTGAACACCCTGTAGACCCTTCCCTAAAATACAGAATAAAATAAAATAAAACCCACATCCAAACTACAATAGCTTGTAAAAAACAAAAACTCTCTTGGTTTAATTTTAGAAACAGAAAAACAGCAATTGAATACTGAGCAATGTTGTGCGCCCCCCTTTATTACTTTCTGCAGGACACATTTTACTAAACTGAGTTCCTCTGTAATTATTCTTCTTCAGAAGCACAAATAAATTCCAAAGAAAAAGTAAGGTGTCTTTTAATTTTAAAAAGAACATTACTTTATATAGCAGAACTATTAACATAGAATGATAGTTTCAGAGGTAAGGAGAACACTAGCATTATAAAATGTACTACTTACTCATCACAGGCTAGCACTCTACCCACTTTAGTGAAACCAAACTATCATTGAGATTTTCTGGGCTCCTTACTTCTGGATGAGACAGGTTTAATAGTAATTAGAATCGCTGGATTTCCTTAAGTTGAAAGGTCAATTAACAGCTATGGAGTGACACATGACATTTTATAAGAGCTAGACTTATCATATTCACACTTACACAATTACAATTACATCTTCCACTTCCAGAATTTTTTCATCTTTCCAAATGTATCCATTAACACATGTAATATAACAACTACTGTTGAATTTCTATCATTTAGTGAAATTCTGTATCATTTCTAATTTTTTAATTCTCTTTAAAAACAACCAACCATATGTGCTAACACACCCCATCCTTCCTCAGACAATTATTTTTCTCTGTTTGGCTACTCTAGACACCAAACATATTGTGTTAATATTATTTTATTAAGTGAAATAACACAATATTTTTCCTTTTGTGTCTGGCTTATATCACTTAGTGTAGTATCTTCAAGGTTCATCCTTACAACATTAAAGGTTCTATCATTTTTAAGACTAAATAACAATCTACCACATGTATATACTTTTGTTTATTCATCCACCATTCAATGGACTCTGCGCTGTTTATACCTTTTTGGCTGTTATGTCTAATAACCTTTATTATCTGGCAAAAAAAGAGATCATAAACAGTTCAAAAATATTTGTATAAAATAACTGGAAAAATGTTTCAAAAAAGGATGATTAAAATTTTAGCAAAATTCTTTTGTTTTGCATCAAATGAGCTTAAAGTTATAAAATGTACAACATGATATAAGAAAACTTATTATAAAGTAGCCAACAAATGAAAACATGAAGCTATAATGGGACCAGTGAGATACCTCAGCAGTCTAAAGCACTTGCTTAGGCAAGCATAGAGGCCATGGTTTGATTCCTGGCACCACATACTGCACCAGCCCCACCCACATGGCAGGCTGAGCCAGCCACAAAAAAGAGCAAAAATAAAATAATAAATAATAAATATACTGTTACACATTACTGAGACAATGCACTTATGCTAAAAATGGCTATTCTAAAGGTTACTTGTGATATCTGGAATCACAAGCAAAACAACTTAATATCCTAGCATTAAACACAAGACAGATAACTAGTATCTCTTTACTTATTAACATGGATTTTCATGGCAAATGATTCTATACTTAACAGCTCGGCAACCAAAGAAACACTATAAAATCAAGATCTAATTAACATTTGTGAATAGAAGAATTTTAGCTTGAGGGCTGCAAACAGCCTGCCCACATCTACATTATTATGAGGTGCAAAGAAAGTAAGGTCATTATGAAGTGACTGCTTAAACAATATGCTTTTGCTTCCTCTTCTATAAAATAGATATAGTAAGAGCGTATTTATTTTTGTCTTTTTGAGACAAGGTTTTGCTGTGTACTCCAGGTTGGCCTTGAACCATATAGTCTAGGTTGGCCTCAAACTCATGGGAATTCTTTTGAGTTGCTGGGATTATAGGCATGCAACACCACACCTGGCAAGTAACAGTATTTTTCTCCCTGTTATAAGGAACAACCTCCATCCATTGTAGCAAACTGTTAGTCAATTTCCCCATTCACTTGCTGCAATTATCACATGTAATCTAGTAATATAATGCAAAATAATTGTAAAATGAAAACTAGTCCTATAAAGACACAGAATTCTATCATATTAATAAAAGTTCTATTTAAGAAATGATATGGCACAAATTAACAATTTATAGGGGGAGCTAGGCATGGTGGCACAGGCCTATAATCCCAGCACTCAGAGGCAAAGACAAAAAGATCCTGAGTTCAAGGCCAGCTTAGGCTACAGAAGGAGATCCTGTCTCAAACAGAAAACCCAAATCAAAATAAAGCAACTTGTAGGGAAAATTAATTTAGTCTTTTTTTTTGTATTTTAGGGAAGGGTTTACAGGGTGTTAAGGGTCTCACTACTAGATCGGACTCACAGTGATCCACCTGTCTACAGCCTCCCAAGAGCTAGGATTACAGATGCACGCCACCATGCCCCATCTCAATTGCTGTCTCTGCGCACCCTGGTGGGGGGTGGGTGGGGTGGGGCGGCATGGCAGGCCCAGAGATTGAGCCCGGGTCCCTGGGCCTGCTTGCAGGCACTTTAACCTGCTGAGCTATATGGCCGGCCCCTTGTAGGGAAAATTAAAGACGATGACAAGATGGGAACTTAAAAACAATACGTGCTGGGGATATAGTTCAGTTATAGACTGCTTGCTTGCCTAGCAGGCTCAACCACCTAGGTTTGAACCTCAGCACTACAAAGAGAGAAAGAGAAAAAGAGAGAGAATGTGAGCAAGCATAATATGAATACCAAACTTGTAATAATTTACCCATACCCCAGGAATCCTATGACAGCACACACTATGAACACATACTTCTCAGTTTCATCTACTAGTAATGTCCCTTCTTTTCCTAATGAATTTCTGCCCCTTCTTCTTAGTGTTTGTTCACATCCTTTTTGTAGTCTTTCCTAAGCTCCACAAGCAAAACTGTCTCCCTCTCTGACACCAAAACACTGAGTTAACAGTGTTATGAAGCAACTCTCACATTCTATTAAATGTCTCTATTTACAGTACTTATCCAGTACTTAGCAGTCAATGACACTGAAAGCACGCAAGATTTTTGATATACTGAACAGGATTTTTGATTCTTAGGATGGGGAAGAGCCAAAATGACCAACACTTGTGTTCAGATCCAAACATGAGACTCAAGACTTAGTACCTTCCAAGCCATTAAGACAGGATGGCTATGACAGTACTGATCAACAGACAGGTTTCTTTTCCCAATAAAATTCATGTGAACAGAACTGTGTTTGGTGCATTAGTTTCTCCAGTACAGAACTGGCATGTAAAACAAATCTTCAATTAACAAGATTTTTAAAAAGATTAGAAAATTTTAAAAGCTTGTATTAAAAAACTATGAATGTCAACACATAAATGTTGAGAAACAGACAAATTCCTAAGTTAAAATTTTACACTGGTCATACATCAACTCTCAGTTGTAAAAATTCTGAGAAATGAAAAAAAATCATCTTTTATGGCAATATGTTATGTGCAAATATTATACTCCAAGCTTTAATCCTGGTTAGTTTCTATTACTAACACACGTGGGCCAGGGAGATAACTCAGTGGCATAAGCATCTGCCTGTCAAGCGCAAGGTCCTGAATTTGATCCCTGGTATCAGGAAAAAAAAAAAAAAATTACTAACATTTATATTCAAATGTGGGCCCAGGCTGTAGGGTTTCACAAGTCTGTCTAGAAAGAATAATGAGAAAATTAAAACTGGCATGCCAACATCCAAAACAGTATTTGTGCGGTGCAAACTATATCAAACGCTAATAAAACACAAAGGACAACTTGCCTTAGCGGAAAATAAACCCAGAATTCATATTTTGAGGAAGTTCAAGTTTATTAGCCAAAGCCACACCGGGGATTGGCTGCCCTAATAAGAATGACTACTACCATCAAGTAAAACAGATTCCATCAACGAGTAGCGCTAGGGTTCCTACTAAACAAACGCGAAAGGAAATAAGCAGTCTCTTTTGCGATTGTCAGGATTAACTGAAAAAAGCATGAGTTCTTCCAGGAAATTCACGTAAGCAGATGCTTAGAATTCGCTGACAAACACTACTGCAGAAGAAAACCTAGGGTCTCCCTTGAAGGATATTTCTGGCAAAGAAAATGCGCTGGGACCGTCTGACACGGCTAAGCAAGCACCAAAGTGGAAAGGCACCACCTGGGCGGGTCCCGGGGCCACCTCGGAGGCTGCGGCGTCCCACACGACCCTCGACCTGCTAGGCAGCTCAGCCACGGCACTCGGGCTCCCATCCGGGAAGGGAAATAGGTGATTCCACTAAGAGGCAGCCGCAGACCTTCAGAGACACCTAGAGTCTCCCGGGCGAGACTTCCCCTCGGCGTGGCGGCCTCCTCTCAGACCAAGAGTAGAGGCCAGGAGCCGCCGCCCACCGCGGCAGGGATCGCCCGGTTGCGGCCTCCCTCGCTTGTCCCCTATATGCAGGCCAGGCAGGGCTGGCCTTGGCCTCGACCACATTGCTGAGCCCCTGTCTCGCCCACTGTGAGTCCGGCGGGAGAAAAACCAGGCTGCAGGAAGGGTGAAGTCGGGCCCACAGTCCCTTCAACACTCACCATGGCGACTTCAGAAGCCCGCAGCAAGGAGCACCCACCGCGCTAGGAGCCTCCTGGGTCAGGTGACGCCCAGGCTCCCGTCCCGCCCTCCCTAGCCCCGCCCTCAACCTTCAGACGGCTCCTCGATTGGCTCGTTCTAGGGACAAGTCTCGCGTGTTTATCGCCCCTGTCACTCAACGCTAGGGCTGATGGACGTGGGTACCCGGTAATTGCTCCATAGTGTGAGTGGGCGGGCTGGTGCAGGACAGTGACTATTGCTCAAAGACAGACAGGAGGAAAGAGAGACATTTAAAGAGATTGTTACAAAAGAAGAAACAGGAAAGGAGCAGTCTGCCCACATTTTGTCCGCCGTGCTTAAGTGCTAGTGGCGCGCAGAACAAGACCGGGATTGGTGTGTGGGTGGATCGCAGTGCCTTGCCCCAGCCAATCCAGATGCGCCGGGGGTGGGCTCGCTTCTCACTTGTCAGCCCCGCGTCTGCGCGGGGGTTTCGTTCCACAGCAGCTGTTTGCGCGGGTTGCTCCTGCTGGCGCCATGGTTTCGGGACTAATCGAACGCCTCGCCCTTCGCCTGGGCCTCACCGACCCCAGTGTGATGAGGTGAGTGTGCCGGGGCACGACCTCGACCCGGGGGGCTCTGCTAGGTGCTCCAGAGCTGTGCTTAAGGGTGGTCTGCACCTTTCCGGTGGAATGGCTCGGACAGGTTTGACTGAGATGCTGGGGGCCAGTGAGCCTGAGGCCTCGGTAGGTTACGACCACGGGCTCTCGTGAGAGCCCCAGGAGCGCCTGTAGAGTCCTCGGGAACGACTGGCCCTGTGGGCTGCAGGTAGTGGGCAGAGGAGTGAGTACAGAGAACGTGGGTCCTTCCGCGGACTACCTGAGAGCTTGTCGTTGGGGTCCTGGCAAGAACCATGTCGGAGTTTATACGCAGAATGGTTGACGTACTGAAGCCACAGAGTAGAAACCTGTCGCTACTTCTCATAAAAAGTCAGGAAAGGCCCCGAAAGAGACATTGCTCTCTTGACCTGATTGATAAACAGTGCTAGCCATGGGAAGATTGGCGGGAAGAGGGTGTGACAGAAACCTTGAGAGGATAAAGATCTTTGCGAGGAACTGTGGTTCTCAAGTGTGGATCCTGGGCCCGCGACAGCAGTATCCTCTTGGCACGTGTTAGATATCCAAAGTCTTGAGCTGCAACACTGGCCTGCTAAACAGGAAACGGGATGGGATCCAGCATCTGTTTTACAAGCCCCCACGGTTTTTATCCTGTGCTGTAAGTTTGCATACCACTAATGAAAACCCTGCTTGCTCGCTTTCTCTGTTTGTTTCCACTTTTCTTGTAATGGAAAAAGAAAAGAATTGTTTTGCGGGGAGCTGAACTTGATCTTGCCTGACAGCACTTAGCAATAGTTAGGTCTGGAGTCAGGGCATTGGCTGTGTAGGGCACATTCCCCTCCTCAGAGGATACACATTTCATTCCCAGGCCCCAAATAAATGTAGGATTAAGTTCAACATTGGTTATGTTCATTGTTTTTGAAGTGCTGGTCAAACTAATGTGAAAGAGTTTTAGTGAACACATTGCCCTTATACTAGGAAAGCAGAGGAGTACTTGCGGCTGTCTCAGGTGAAGTGTACTGGTCTATCTGCACATACCACAGAAACTAGCAATGCCATCATGTGCTTGGACCTTGCAGCTGCCTGTATGAAGTGCCCCTTGGACAAGGTAAGTGAGTTCCATTGAATGTCCAAATAATGTAAATATTAACCCTTACATTTTAATTTTTAGTTGGCCTAGACCCGGATCAAAAACTCATGTTGTAGAATTTTTATGGTTAAGTCTCATATTCTAAATAAATTTAAGAATCATTTTGTCAAGCCAGGAGTGGTGGAGCATGCCTGTAATCCCAGAACTGAGAAGGCAGAAACAGGATGATCGCTGTTTGAGGCCAGCCTATACTACCTTGTGTCAAAAAAGAATCATTTTGTCATGTTGGAAAAAAATACTTTTGGCAGTGTCTGTATTATCTAGTTTCCTGTTTTTTTTGGTTTTTTTCATAGAGATCATCTTCTATGCTGCTATTAGCAGTAGTCTATTAAAGTATATACATTAAAACATGTATGAGTTTTTAACATCACAATATTTAAAAGGCAGCTTTGAAGTCAGGAGGAGTCATGTGTTGAAGTCATATCTTAGTACCATTTGCTAGTTGTGTGAGCCACAAGTTTCCTCCTCCATAAAGTAGGATAAAAATGTCCATTTCACTGATTCGTTTTTTTTTTTGTTTGTTTGTTTGTTTTTCTTGGAACTGGGGATTGAACTCAAGCCCTTGTGCTTACCAGGGAAGCACTTATTTCACTGAGCCATCTCCCCGGCCCTTTCACTGAATTATGATGATTATATAATGCTCGTAACACAGAGTCTGTCATAACAGATACACTCATTAAGTGGTCTAAATGTTAAAGCAAAGCTCTTGTCTCCCATTAAAGTTTTCTTCTCTTAAACCCTAATTTCAAACTACAATATTCACTCATCAGACTTCTACGTTTAAGAATTTGTGGCTTTAATGATGCAACATTTGGTTTTTCCAAGAATGCTCTGGCAAACCCGTTTGTCGTATGTGATGACCATACACACACACACACACACACACACACACACACTTGTAACTTGTTAACATCTTTTTAGAATCTCCCCCTGACTCTCCCAGACAGCTGGTTCTCTTGCAGTTGTTTCTATACTTGTTTATCTGGTCTGCCTTTCCTCTTCATATACACACTCCCTCTTTTCTACTCCTATCCCTTTTCTCAGTCTTTTTCCCTAAAATTTTCCCAATGTCATATTTGTTGAGAAACAATCATTTCTATTTCCTTCAGTGTTTTTTTCCCCCCACACTTTATTTTTTTTTAATGTATTTAGTACAGGGTCTATAGGGCCTCACTACGTAGATTGGACTTCTAGTGATCCTCCTGTTTTCATCCTCCCAGGCGCTGGGATTACAGGTGTGTACCACCATGCCCAGTCTCAAGCTCTGTCTCAGCCCACCCCGGTGGGTGGAGCTGTCACAGCACACCAGGGATTGAACCCTGGTGCCTGCGTCTGCTTAAGCAGGTGCTTTAATCTGCTGAGCTATCTGGCCTGCCCATTTCTGACACTTTAGATGTTGGTACTATGTAATTATTTCGAAGTGAGCTGTGGACAATATGCATTACTGCCCTCTTATGGTGATTACGGGTTTTTATTAAATGTAGCTAAACCTTTAGGCAGCGTGACTTGCCGCAGAATTTTGAAAAGCTTATACTACATATTAAGTGTTTAAAGTGTGCTAATGTAGAGAATTTCAGATATATATATTTTTCCTTTCAAAGGCTTATTTAATTAAGCTTTCTGGATTGAACAAGAAGATGTATCAGAGCTGTCTTAAATCTTTTGAATGTTTGCTGGACATGAATTCAAATATTGGAATAAAAGACCTAGCTGTACAATTTAGTTGTACAGAAGCAGTCAACATGGCTTCAAAGATACTGCAAAGGTATGGGCATAAAGGGCCTTAAATTTTATACTGATAAAGCAAAATTATTAAGTGATCTATTTTAGTTAATTTTTCATCTTGAATGTAAATAAAAACCATTCAAAATGAAACTAGCTGGGGATGTAGGTCAGTGTGAAAATATAGGTTCAATCTCTGATATTGTACCCCCAAAAAAGGGAAAAATTAAGATGCTAAAGTGACAGTACTAATCTCCTGCATTTTAAAACATTGTAAGTTCTGTCTTGCATATTCAGTCACTTTTGAAATAATACTTTGCCTTAAAATTTTTTTTTCTAATATGACTTATTTTGTTGTACTAATTGATAAGAGTATGATGTGATAATTTGGTATATGCATACAGATTTAAAAATCAGAACTGGGAAGATAGCTCAATGGCTTAAGCACCTGCCTGGTAAGCACAAGGTCTTATGTTCGATCCCTGGTACCAAAAAAAGGTGAAGAAAAAAAAAAAAAGATCAAACCAGGTAACATTTCCATGTTAAGCCTTTAAATTTTTTTTTTTTTTTAATTAGTGAGGAGGTCTTGTCGTTTTTAGTGAACCTATGGTGCGCATGCAGGACCAGGCCTTGTAACCACAATGGCTGAAAATGGTGATAATGAAAAAATGGCTGTTCTGGAGGCCAAAATCTGTCATCAAATTGAGTATTATTTTGGAGACTTCAGTTTGCCACAGTACAAATTTTTAAAGGAACAGATCAAATTGGATGAAGATCAATTGGTACCCTTGGAAATAATGGTAAAATTCAACAGGCTCAACTGCCTACCAACAGACTTTAATGTAATAGTAGAAGCAATGAGCAAATCTAAAGCAGAACTCATGGAGATCAGTGAAGATAAAGCTAAAGTCAGAAGATCTCCAAACAAACCCCTCCCAGAAGTAACTGATGATTATAAAAAGGGATGTAAAAACCAGATCTGTTTATATTAAAGGCTTCCCAATGGATGCAACCCTTGATGATATCAAAGAGTGGCTAGAAGATAAAGGTCAAGTATTAAATATCCAGATGAGAAAAACATTGCACAAAGCATTTAAGGGATCAATATTCATTGTGTTTGATAGCCTTGAGTCTGCTAAGAAGTATATGGAAACTCTGGGCAAAAAGAATAAAGATAGACACTTGCTAATACTTTTAAGGAAGATTATTTTGCAATGAAAAATGCAAGAAGGCAAAATGAAGTGGACACTAAAGAGCTAAACAAGAGCAAGAAGAAAAACAGAAGTTAGCAGCAGGTGCTGAAATGAAATCTCTAGAAGAAAAGATTGGCTGCTTGCTGAAGTTTTCAGGTGACATAGAGGATTAGACCTGTAGAGAAGATTTGCAGGCCCTTTTCTCAAATCATGGTGAAATAAAATGGATAGACTTTGTCAAAGGAGCAAAAGAGGGAATAATTCTACTTAAATTAGCCAAGGAAGCACTGGATAAAGCCAAAGATGCAAATCATGGCAGCCTGCAATTAAGGAACAAAGAAGTGACATGGGAAGTATGGGAAGGAGAAGTGGAAAAAGAAGCTTTGAAAAAAATCATAGATGATCAATAAGAATCTTTAAACAAATGGAAATCAAAAGATCGCACGTTTAAAGGAAAAGGAAAAGCTGCCCAGCCTGGGTCTGGTAAAGGAAAAACACAGTTTCAGGTCAAGGAAACAAAATTTGATAGTGATGAAGAACATGATCAAAATGGTGCAGCTGGACCCGTGAAAAGAGCAAGAGAAGAAACGAACCTGCATCGAAACAACAGACTAGTGCTGGAGACTAGTAGTTAGTTTAGTGAAAAAAAATTTTTTTTATTCATCTTAGGTTTTAATAGCTGCTTTGTGTCTTTGGAGGCTTTTAAAAAGAAAACCTAATTAGGTCCACTTGAATGTCCACCTGTAAAAAAAGGACAATTTTTTTTTTTTGTCTTTTTGTTGTTGTTATCCAAACACATTTTTTTAATGCATAAGTTCTGTGTTCACAAGATGCAAATATCAAAAAGGAAGATTCTTTCACTAAATTGCCTTTGTGTTATGAGAATGTATTAGTAAAAAAATAAAATATATACTGTATAAAAAGTAAAAAAAAAATTTTTTATTAACAATTAATTGTATCTTGTGGGAGATAGTGTGATATTTCAATATAAGTATATAATGTGTACTGATGAAGTCAGGATAAATAATAGTTCCATTTTTTTTTTTTTTATCACTAGTTGGAGTTTGGAGTCTTTGAGCTCCTCTCTTCTTGTGATTCATATATATTACTGTAAATTATAGTCACCCCACTGTTTTGTACAGCATGCAAGTTCATTTTTATGTGTGGCATTTTATTTGTATATAATGTATTTTGATCATACTCACAAAATAAATTATGTCAAATGAGTGTAAACATTGCTCATCCTTAGCTATGAGTCCAGTCTTCACCAGACACCGCAAGTAGATCTTGACTTATCCAGGCCACTTTTCACCACTGCTGCACTACTTTCAGCATGCAGGTAAATGTTTCTTTTAATTTTTAAAAGTTTTCAATTTATAAATGGGGTTTTTAATTTCCAAAGATTAATTCTAATTTAGCTGTCTTCAATTTGGCATATTTTCCTCTATAAATAATGTTAGGATTCCAGGCCAAGTGACCAGATTTTCAGTTTATCCTATAATATAGTTGATATCTTGGAACTAGTGCTCTCAGAAGTTAAGTAGCCCAGTGGTAGCCCTATATATCAGTGGTATTCTGATTTCAGATCCTGCTTTTTATAAGTGATGATCTGTCAGAATAATGGTCATGTGTGATGTAAAAGTACCAGCAGAAATTGTTCTTCAATTAATTTCTAAAACATCTCTGTAAAAAAAAACAAAACAAAACTTCTGTAGTAAATTCTATTAAAATAGTGTGTTATCTCTGCTTATACTGAATTGTTACCTCTATTTGTGGCTGTTGATATCTTTTTCTAAAAAAGTTGTCATCTTGCCTGATATCTTCCTGGGGCGAGGGTACAGGATAGTTGGCCATTAAAGAATAAAGAAGTTTCCCACTACCTAGGCAGTAATTTTTGGTGTGTTTGACTGTATTCATATACCTAGGCCTGAATCATAGGAAATGTTTATTTAAATCAACAAAGATACATGTGTATTTCCCCTAAAGGAGAGTAGGAAAATTGCAGAAAACTGCAAATGGTCAAATAGCCCCACTTTTGAGCAAAGAGAGGAGTGGACAGGTCTGTGATTCTAAATAAGAAGTTTGTGATTTTTATTAGTGTTTGCTGTAGAAGCCTGAGGAGTTTTTGAGGAGGTGAAAGGGTGTTAATCCTCTAGTGTATTATAAGCAGCTTGGGCTAAAGTGAGTTGAACAATTAAATTACTATAATTATCATTCTGCAAGTTAACATCTGAGATTTAGTAAAAAGAGTTCTAAAAGGTATGAAACTCAACAGCAAATATAATTTATCTGCCCCATTTGTTAAAAAATAGATCCCAAGTATATTTTAACTCCAAACTAAGACCTAACTAGATAAAAACCTTAAAATGGCAAATTTTCATGGTTCTGACTAATGAAATAGTTGTGGAATAAAGGAAAACTAGATTGGGGCGGTTTTAATAAAACATACAGGAAGAAGAACAATGTTTATAATCTGGTTGCCAAGGAAAAAGATGACTAGTCCCCAAAAAGCAATTTTTGAAATTCTTTTATAGGATTCTAAAGGTAAAAGTGGATAAAAACAAAATGGTAGCAATGGCCGGTGTAAAGAAAGCCATATTTGATCGACTTTGTAAGCAACTGGAGAAGATTGGACAGCAGATTGACAGTGAGTATTCTGTAGCTTAAAAACATGTAGACTTGCTGGTAAAAGGTATTTTCAACTTGTACACTGACCGCTTTCTGCAAGTCACTTTTTTTTTTTTTTTTTTTTTTTTTTGCGGAACCAGGGATTGAACTCGGGCCCCTTGCGCTTGCCAGGGAAGCACTTATTCCACTGAGCCATCTCCCCGACCCCCCTGACTGCTTTCTGAGTTCTGTATTTAATGTGGGCCAGATAGTTTTTAGTGAAAAAAACCTGATTTTTCTATTTTTCAAATAAAGTAGGAACTGTTTAGAAAGCTATAATTCCATGAATCCATGGAAAATAGATTCTGTGGCATGTTGTGATGTTAAATGCCACTCTGCATATACATAAGATAGGAGATAAGTGAATTTTGAGTTTGACAAGAGAAGCAGCATGAAAAGTTAAGGGCAACATCATTTGTCTTCTCTTTGTCCCATCAATGTACCTAAGATTTGTTTATGAGCTAAAATATGGCCAGATACTAAAATTGAGGAGAAAAATTAACCCATTAATTTCTTCTTTCTTTAAAGAAGAATTTAGAGATTTAGCTAGTCCTCCACAGAAGAAAAAGAAGACAGTGGTTGAATCGTTGGCAAAGGGTAAGTCCTACTAACACTGTACTCATACTGATAGTGAAATTAGTGCACTGCAATAAATGCAGTGACTAGTCCTGTGCAATTCTAATAGCTTGCTTGACAAAAGCAACCTTGAAATAAATCCTGACCAATTACTAAGACCAATCTTCCAAGCAATGATTAGTGGAAGTAACAGAAGTATTGCCTAATTAAGAAGACATCAGAAGCCAAACAGCCAGAGTACAAGTCTACCACAGTTGAGTACAGGTCTACCACAATTAAAAGTGTTAGACAAAGTAAAGTTTGTAATAGAGTTTGAACAAAGAATGACTCATGAATTGGGCAGCACTCAAATCAGAAAGAGACTCGGGTTGCTCAAAGAGATTCAGTGAACTTTTATAGGCTGAACCTGGAAGCAAAGTGAAGAAATGACTTTATGGTCTGTGGCTGTGCATCTGCTGTATTTGGGCATGCCCTGATGGGAGGTCTTTTACCAGGCCTGGTGGAAGCTTGTTTTGTTTCATTTTTCTTTGTTACAAAAAATGTTTTCTGGTTAAATTCTTGTTTGCTTACATAGGCATTCCATCTACAAAGACAATGTGGCTGGTGGCCTTTTATTGACTTTAATACCACCTGCTGGCTGTGTGAGTTTAAGAAAGTCACAGTTTCTGTGAGATATGCTAATACAAAATGTACTATTAACACTCACTTCATTAGTATTGTGGTAAGAGTAGAATGAGATGCAGTTTAAAGCGTTTGGTTCAAGGGCTAGTGAGATAGCACGGCAGACTAAGCGCCTGCTTAGGCAAACGCAGGGGCCAGGGTCAGATCCCCAGCACCACATGCCACACCAGCCCCGACTCAGGCGTGCTGAGCTGACCACTGAGACCAGGTGTAGTGGTGCACTCTTGTAATCCCAGTGCTGGGGAAGCTAAAAGCAGGAGGATCACTAGAGACCCTGTACCAAATACATTTTTTTAAAAAAGTATTTTTTTGATGTTCAGGGCCCATTAAGCATAAAGTAAGTGTTTGACAAGTCTTAACTGATGTTGTTGGAATGCTAAGAGTATAAGGAGGAGAAAAAAGTTAAGAGTTGCCATTTTATTTTATTATCTTATTTCCTACTACCTTAATTAATTGCAGTAGATAACTTTATACAAATTTACTTTTACTTCATTTCTAAACATAAAAATTTTGAAATTACATTCTTTTTCTCATAGAAATAAAGGAAGTAGAAGAAATCCCACATAAGTCACAGAAAGATGAAGATGTAACACAGGATTATGAAGAATGGAAAAGGAAAATTTTGGAAAATGCTGCCAGTGCTCAAAAGACTATAGCAGAGTGATTTTAGTTTCCAGCCTGGGATGTGCTACAGACCCCTATAGTTTACTGCCACCTCCAGGAATAAGCCATTATTAGATCTGAGTTAGGGGCGGTGGGCTCCCTTTTGCATAAGCAACGTTAGATCACTACAGTGCCTCACACCTCAGATCCCCACAGGACTGGCTGTCTCATAACAGGAAATGGGAGCCATTTCTGTTGTGTCTGACGATGAAGGCAGTCTTCTGTCCTGTTGAGAATACAAGATTTTACTTAAATTTTTGTGCAGTTGTTTTGGTTTGAGTAAATGTTTTGTACAGCCTAAACTAATAAATGTTATTTTTTTTGTGCATTCAAGTTGCACTTGTCATTAGTTTGAAGGAATCTTTGCCCTTTTTAATTCTCAAAATTTAGCTGACTGAAACTTGGGAAATAGCACAATAAGCCCTGTGCCATTTTTCCCCTAACAATAGATCAAGAGTTAACTGAGCTTCAGTTTCTCCATTTGTAAAATAGATACATGTGTCTTGTGAGAATTAAGTGTAATACTGTGAAATGTATTTGGTAGGCATTCACTACAGTCTAAAATGAGTAAGTGAATGTTCTTCATTCAGTTTTTTTTTTGTTTCTTTTGGTAGAACTGGGGACTGAACTCAGACCCTTGCACTTGCCCGGCAAGTGCTTGTTCTACTGAGCCATCTCCTCAGCCCCCAGTTTGTTTTTAATTTGGTGGCAAGTTTAGAATTTTAGCTTAGAGTTAAAAATGATATACTTTTTTTTTTTTTTTTGTGGAACCGGGGATTGAACTCAGGACCTTGCGCTTGCCAGGCAGGCACTTAATCCGCTGAGCTATCTCCCCAGCCCAAAAATGATATACTTTTGTCATGTAAAATTAAGCACATTTTTAAAAATATGAGATATATTTCCAGCTTTACAAAGTGTACGTTTCATTTGTCACATTGTTTTGCAAACAGGTTCTAGAATTTTTTTCATCTTGCAAAACTGACTGCCCATTAAATAATTCTTCATTCCTCCCTCCTCTGGGCTCCTGGCAATTAACGTTTTTTTTCTGTCCCATACTTCAAGTAAGTGAAATAGTATTTCTCTGTGACTGATGTATTTCCTTAGTATAATGTCCTCAAGTTTCATCTCTGTTGTAACTTGTATCAAAATACTCCTATTGAAGATTAATATTTCATAGTGTATACAAACCACTTTTAGAATATATCCATTAATGGGACACTAGTTGCCCCCCCCTTAGCTGCTGTGAACATGAGTATACAGCTATTTATTGAGATCCTCCTATGCGATTTTGGAGGTTATACCCAGATGTGGGATTACCACATCATTTAGTAATTTAAGAGCTTTTGAGGACCAAACCATCCACAGTAGGTACCTTATATTCATGCTCATACTGGACAAGGCTTCCTTCCAGTTTCTCTATGCTTGTCAATGCTTACGTTCTGTTTGTTTTTAAGTAGCCACCCTAATGGATGTGAGTCTAACCCCTCATTGTGGTTTTTGTCTTTCCCCAATGACTAATGATGTCAAACACTGTACTTAATAGCTGTTGTCAGTTTATTTTGCAGAAATGTACTCAAATCCTTTGTCCCTTTTTGAGTTGGCTTTTTATGATTGAGCTGTTACTTTATTCTAGATATTGGCCCTTGTCAAATATACACTTGGAGAATATTTTCTTCCATTGATCCGTTGATCAGGTGACTTTTTACTCTGCTGACTACAATTTTTAGTTTTCATCTAGTCCAGTTGATCTACTTTCATTTTTGTTGCCAGTACTTTTGCTGTCATGCCAAAAAAATCTAATGTCGTGAAGCCTTCCCTCTTATTTTAATAGGATTAACTCATGCATTTAGGTCTTTCATCCATTTTAAATCAAGGACAGTAACTTGAAGCTTTGGTTAAATCTGCTATTTCTGAGCCTTTTTTTTTTAAGTATAATTTTTTTTATCATATTCAACTTATTACTCATGCCATCTGTTTCAGTACTATCTTTATCATTTAAAAATAATCTTTTGGGAAGCTCAGTTCTGTTACCAAAGGTGAAATTTAAAATTAAAATCCGCAAGTGATTCTAATTCATCTTTTTATAGTTTGCTCAAGTCAGGCTCCACACTTGATAATGGTTGTACTAATTTTTTCATCATAAGATCGCTATATGCTTGTTAAATTCAGGTAGCTCAGAAAGCTATGAAAAGTAGAATTCCCTCTCCCAAGCACAAGAATTTCTCCTCCTAGTCACCCACTTTTACACCCTACTTCCTGTTAAATTTCTTTTTCTTTTTTTTTTTTCCTGTTAAGTTTCTTGCATATCTGAGAACTTTTAATGCACATATGAGCATGTGTCCTAAGTGGATGGTACCATATGTGTGTTCTATAATGTTTAAATGAAAAGATGGCTCTCAGCACATCTCAATCTATCTTTTAACACCTGAGAGTTATTCCCCTGTAAGAATATGGCAAAGCTTTTAACTCACACAGGCAGGCATGTATTATTTATACTTGATCAGTTGCAACAGTTACAATGAACATAAATTTCTGTATACTTGTTTATTGAGTAGTAGCATCTAGAAATGGAATTGCTGCATGGTGGGCATAACATTTAGATGCATGTCAAGCAGAAATAGGAAAGAAAACGCTGTTTTCCCCAAACCTTTATGTTTTAGGGTTTCTTGCCTAACAGATTTCAATCACTGTTCTTATCAAGTGAAAAAGTCCCATTATAAATAATTGATATCAACACAGTTATAATCTGAAACTTTGGGGGCCAAGTACACATTAGAAAATTAGAGAACTAAAAATAACGAGAAACTTGAGGCCTCACAAAAGCTGCTCTTTAGGTTTATTCATTTGTGTTTTATTTTTGTGTGATGTTGATTTTGGTTTTGGAGCTATGTAGTTAAGGCTGGCTTTGAACTTAAATTTGTACCCCAGGATGGCCTCAAACTCCAGATGATTCTCTTGCCACAGTCTCTTAAATGTTGGGATTACAGGCTTGTACCCCTACACCCAGCTATTCACTTCACAGAGGCAAAAATCCACATTTCCGGGGCTGGGGAGCTAGCTAGGCTGTCTAAGCACCTACCTGACAGGCCAAGGACCCAGGTTGAATCCCTGGTACCATAAGCCCTGCCAGCCCGGAAACCCAGGCGTGCCTTTGTACAGGCCACTGAAACTGGGCGTGGTGGCACATGCCTGTAATCCCAGCACTGGCAAGCCTAGACAGAAGGATCAGTATGAGTCCGAGCTGCATAGAGACCCTTTACCAAATAAATACAAGGTTAAAAGAAGTTCACATTACCTTCTACTACTGTGGGCTGTGGGCCTCTCCTAAAATAAAATTTGGTGGATATGGTATAGGATTTTAGAACTGCCCTGTCCAAATAGAGACCACTAAACACATGACTGTTAAAACACTTAAAATATGACTAATGCAGCAACAGAACTGAGTTTCTAACTTTATTTTAATTAAATGTAAAAACAGGTATTTCATGAAATTATTGGAAAAACTTAGAACATCTTGAATACATATATATTTTTTCCATAATAAATATGAGTTATAAACACAAACTATTTCCAATGAAAACCTAGCATCTATTATTTTTTAATTTAATTTTTGTCTTTTCGAGACAGGGTCTCACTATGTAGTTCATTCTGACCTTGAGCTCACCTTGTAGCTCAGTCTAGTCTAATTCACAACAATCCTCCTGCCTCAGCCTCCTGAGTGCTGGGATTACAGGCATGTGCCACCATGCCTGGCTGAAAACCTAGCATCTAAATGGACATACGTTGTAAGTGGAAAATAAAAACCAGGTTTTAGAGCCTTATCATAAAAAAGTCCATGACTGTATATTCATTACATATTGAAATATTTTTGATATATTGGATTAAGTAAATTATTTCAATTCCAATAAATATTTTTAAAGGAGCTACTAGAAAATTTTACATTATGGGGGCCGGGGATATGGCTCAGTGGAATAAGCACTTCCCTGACAAGTGCAAGGGCCTGAGTTCAATCCCCAGTTCCGCAAAAAAAAAAAAAAAGAAAGAAAATTTTACATTATGAATGTGGCTCATAATTCTCTAAACAGTGCTGTTCTAGAGCAGGGTAACTACATTTTTCTGGGAGAAAGATTATAGCATTCCACAAGACCCCAAATCCCAAATAGCATGAGAGCTACCACACTAGATGGAATTACAAACTAACCTCCCTAGCTGCTCTCAAAAACCTTTGCCATATAGCGAGGGTGGGCAGTGGGGGGTGGGGTGGGGGAGGTGGTGTACACACCTGCAAATCCCAGAACTCTGGGAAGCTGAGACAGGAGAACCCCAAATTTAAGCCCAACCTGGGCCATGTAGGAACTTAGCAAAACCCTGACTCAAAAAAGGCTGAGGATGTATGCACAGGCCATGGTTCAATCCTTAGTACCATTTTTATAAAAGCACATTTTCATAAATGTAACTGACACTTTAAAACCAAGGGCCGGGAGATAGCTCAGTAGAATAAGCGCTTGCCTGGTGAGTGCAGGGCCGTGAGTTCAAACCCTGGTATTGCAAAAAAAGAAAAAAGAAATCTTTAGGGGAACAACCCACTCGGATCCCGCTCCTGTCCCTCTCTCGGACAGAATCTTTCTTTCCCTCAATAAATATGTTCTGCTAAAATAATTAAAACCAAATCACTATTACTGTCTCATTAAAAGTAGTATTAAGCACCATCTATATGTTTATATTTACTAGTTGGTCAGCTTTTTTTTTTTTTTTGTATTTTTTAGGTAAGGGTCTACAGGATGTTCAGGGTCTCACTACTAGATCAGACTTGTAGCGATCGACCTGTTTACAGCCTCCCAAGAGCTGGGATTACAGGAGCGCACCACCACGCCCAGTCTCAATTGCCATCTCAGTGCATCCTGGGGGCGGGGCTGGCAGACACTTTAATCTGCTGAACTATTTGGCCGGCCCTAGTTGGTCAGTTTGGAGCAGGCCTAGAAATGCTGATACAGAAAAGCTTAGATCCCTGACAAGGGTTAGCTTTCCAAAGCAAAGTTATAACCCAAGAAAGTCTTTATTTTGGTGGAGGAAAAATCTTGAAAGGCTGTGAAACTATTGGATGTCTAATCAAAAACTAAGTCACTATACCAACTAAAACAGCTGACTTGAAAAGATAATGGAAGTACTGTACCATAAAAATCAGACAAAGGTGAACTGGGTATGGTGGCGCACATCTGTAATCCCAGCCCTTGAGAGGCTGAGCCAGGAGGATCACCAAGAGTTTGAGGCCAGCCTGGCAGCATAGTGAGACCCTGTCCTGAAAAACAACAAAGCATCCACCAAAAGTGAAGAAATTTTAAAAAATGTTAGCTTATAAATAATAAAACCTTGAGTAAAGGGATTAAAGTGCTGAAACGAGTCAGGCATGGTGGCAGGAGGCTTGCCCCAATAGCAAGGCCTGCCCAGGCTATAGAATGTAGTAAAACCTTTTCTTTAAAAAAGTGCTGCCTGTAGTCCCAGCTCTTGGGAGGCTGTAAACAGGCAGATCACTACAAGTCCGATCTAGTAGTGAGACCCTGAACACCCTGTAGACCCTTCCCTAAAAATAAAAATTGAAAATTAAAAAAAAAAGTGCTGCAATGCACACATGCAGATTTTGAATGTTTTAGTAGCTCACCACATTAAGAGTGTTATTTCAGTGAATAAATGATAGGACTATTCTAATCTAGGTAGTAAAGTTTTTTATACAACAGTATATACAAAGCATATAAAAATAACAACATTGAAAGTAGTATGTCATTAATAGACAGTAGAAGAGCACTTCTCCTTTATTGCTTCATTTCTGGGTTTGTCCCAGGAAGGTGAACATCATTACATTCTTATCTCACTTCATATATTGTATCAGTTTCTAGACTTACAAGGCCAAAAGTTCATAACCAAGAAATGAAGGTCACGTCGGTAGAGGAAGGAGAGAGAATGAAGGTGGGTATAGAATTTAAAAACGTGTTTAAACATTTCACATTTAATTGCTTCTCCACCTTTTGTCTAATGTCAAGTGAAAAATTTTTAGATTTAGTCACAATTGATACATTTTGAAATTTTACACAAAACTAAAGGAATTGTGTTGGTGTTGATTCTTAAAACAACATAGTACAATATTTGCACACACATAAGCAAATCAAAATTCTAGGAATTCTTTATACTGGAACATTTGTACTGGAAGAGGTAATTATGAGAAACATGCTTTTGCATAATAGCTAAGTTTCAAATTTAAATTTGATATATTCAAAGTAGGACCTTTTGGGCCTGGGGTTATAGTTCAGCGGCATAAGCGCCTGCCTGGCAAACACAAAGTCCTGAGTTCAATCCCCAGTACCACAAAAGAGGAAAAACAAACAAACAAAGAAGGACCTTTCCTACTAACTAAACATGTCTACATTTTAATACCTGAAAAGTAAATATAGCATTTCGAACTTAATGATCTTACAGGGAAAATAATTTTCTAAGATGCTTTCTTTATAGTCATAAGGAAAGCAACAGTTAACTTTTTTCTTTTATAAAATTAGAAGAATTAAAATAGTAAGATAACATTTAAAATCTTGAGTCATCTCTTCAGATCAACAATGGTGTCAATAATATGTGGGTCTTTTGGAGCAGTAGTGTTGTCTATTAAGGAGAAGTTGGAAATTTCCTTAACCTATTGGCAGCAGTCACCACGTAGAAGTGTTTCTTGAGATAAGGAGAGAAAGGAAAGAAAAGAAAAAGCATACTTTTAGACCTTTAAAAAGATAGTAAAAGGAATCTAGCCACTTGAGTTTGTTTAAAATTGATAATCTAAAGAGGAAAACAAGTTTCTAGAATAGAGTAGAATAGTCCTGTGACCCTGAGGGATGTCTGGAGAGTGCAGCATCCTACTTAAAGCTAGAATAGTATTTCTCAAATTATAACTCACAACCCACCAGTGAGGCATGAAATAAAAATTTTAGACTATAAACAATTATTTTTTAATAAAATCAAATGGTGTAGGATAGAAAATAGAATGTATCATAGTATGTTAGAATGAATGTGAAGTTTTTGCTTTATATGTACATGTATAAGTATACTGGTGTACTGATTCCCTAGGTAAAGGTGTTTTGTTTTTTGTTTTGGGTGTTTTGGGGGTGTTTGATTTTGGTTTTGGTGCTGGAGGTTTTACCTGGGGTCTTAGGCATAGTAAGGATTCTGCCAAGGAGCTATAGCCACCACTATGTTTGGTGTTTTACTGATAATAAGAATTGGCACTAAAATGGAAAGCTACTTCCCTTGATGGTAACTACTAAGATAGGTTCCATGTCCATGTTACAAAAGAGGTCTACTAGAAACAAAGTTGTAAAACTTAATAAGAGATTTCCCACAGCCCATTTAGTTCAGGAACAACACTACTACCACCACAGAGAACATACAAAAGTGGGATCAAAAAATATGGTCAATGTTTAAAAATGTTTTAAAAAATTATTACAGTAAAAGACACATTGCCAGGCATGGCGGTACATGCCTATGATCCAGCACTAGGGAGGCAGAGGCAGGAAGATCACGGGGAGTTCAAGGCCAGCTTGGGCTACATGGGGAGACCCTTTCTTAAACAAACAAAACGACATATTGCCATTAATCCTTTTCAAAATACTCCCCTTCACTTCATAGACACTTAGCCACCCTTCTTGCCACTTTCTGAAGCAGTGCTCTTTTGTGAGTGGCTTTAGTTGCACTGTTGTGGCTGCCTTGATGTCCTGAATGGATTCAAAGCCATTATCTCTACTGATCATTTTGACAGGAGAAGGACTAGAAGCCTCAGTGCCAGATCTGGTAAAAAAGGTAGATAAAGACAGTGTTGTGGTTTGTGTGTGTGTGTGTGTGTGTGTGTGTGTGTGTGTGATGTTTTTTTTTTTAGCATCATGTTTTCATGAGCTACCTTTTTGCTGGGTGACATTCAGCAGCCCATTCCCTTTCTTTTTTATCATATCTCAGGAATTCCAGAAAAACTGAGTCAAAAAGGGGTAAAAATGATGGGATAGTTGTGTTTTTTTTTATTTTTATTTTTTTGATAGTTGTGTTTTAAGCAAGAAGGTATATCTTGTGGAGAATTAATGATGTGTCTTTTACTGTAATAGTTTTTTTTAATTTAAACATGCACTATATATTTTGAGCATCTCTCCTATGCCCAACTTCAATCTATCACTTTAGGTGTCTGTATGACCACAGACTAAACAACACTTTTGTACCCGTTACTTTTTGGTGTCTGGCTTCTTTTAATCAACCTAACAGTTTTTAAAGTGAAATTTTTCTCCTTTAAAAAAATCTATAAGGTGGGCCAGGGAGATGGCTCAGTGGAATAAGTGCTTCCCTGGCAAGCACAAGGGCCTGGGTTCAATCCCTGGTTCTGAAAAAAAAAAAAAAAAGCTTTAATAAAACATGTAAAAATTTAGGGACAGTTCTTTCCAAGGTCAGAAGACAAATGTTTCCTTTACTCAAAGAAAAGAAAATACCTTCCATTTTCTCTGGGCCATGTATTTCTGCAAGAGCAGCTGGGATTTGAGATGAACTTTGGATTTGGAGGCTTTGGCAGGCAAATCGTTCAGCCACTCATGTTTCAGGCACTGTGTGGCACTCATCCTGCAGCTGTGAAATAAACAGCAGTTGAAACTTTTAGTTGGCAACTGGAAACTTCTATTGGGCAGCAATCCTGAGTCAGTAGAACTTTTAATTATTCTGGCAGATTCATGTCACGTACCAAAAAGAGAGCTTGTCTAAAACTGCCCTCTACAAAGGCCAGTAAGTAGTAAGTCAGCAGCAAGATGTTCCCTGACCTCTATGGGGGAGTGTGTTAGAGTAACTGACCTCCCAGTGAGGGCAGGGAAGCTGAGGCAGCACATGAGGCAGGCTATACCTGGGACTGTGCTTCAGAAGCAAAAGAAGGGAAAAAGAAATTGTGGTCTTTATACACAATAGAGTACTATGCTGGCATAAAGAAGGATAAGTTTGTGGCATTTGTAGGGAATGTAAGTGAAGCAAATCAGATGCTCAAGTTGTTTAAATATTGCATGGGTTCTCTTACGTGAGAAACTTGAACTTCAAATAATTTCCAGAGCAATATAAAGATAATAGGAAGCAGGGAGATCTTTTGCAAAAGGAAGGGGACAAGGGCTGGAAGGAAGGAGGGGGAAGAAGAAGTAAAAAGAATTAAATGCGTTCTGTCCATGTACCAACTCTTTATAATGAACGCAGTCATCATGTACCATAATAGGTACTAATAAAAATTAACATTTCAAACAGAAACAAAAGAAACATGACGTTGACAGACGCTCATTTCTCCTTCACAGTATATTTAATTAGAATTTTTTTTCCTCTCACATAAGCTTTCATAACCAGAAATAAAACTGAAAAGCAGAGAACAGTGATCTGTGTCAGTGTGCATCTTCTCGGTTCTTAGTAATTTGAGAATGTGATGGCGCGCACCTGTAATCCCAGCACTCAGGAAGCTAGGCAGGAGGACTGCAGCCAGTTTGAGGCCAGCCTGGGCTACATAGTGAGTTCAAGGCCAGTGTGAACTACACAGTGAGACCCTGGCTCAAAAAACAATAATATAGCTTGGGAGCAGTGTTCCACGATGAATTCTAGAGTCCCTAGTGGAAACAAACTCCAGTTGCCCACAGATAGTCTCTACTTCTGGGTTACTAATACTTTTAACTTTCAGTTATTTTATTTGAGTATTAAAAAAAAAAAAAGCTCAGTGGCTTACTGTATGACATAAAACTACTGAAGCCTAAGTAGGCTTTCGTCACCAATAAATGAAGTATTCAGATCTTTATTCTGGGGAGAATGAAATCTGCATATCTCAACTTTTTTTTTCAACATTAGCCAATGCTAAGTGATAACTTGAAAATAGGACCATTTACAAATATACTTCTTTCTAAGGCATATCTAGATGCTCATGCTCCTAGTTGTTTTTAATTGATTTCCTTTTTTCCTCTCTCTGCTCTCATTATTATTCCAAAGAAGTAGCAGACTAAGAAATCCTAAAGCGGGCTCTGGCTGCAGGCTCCCTCACCCGCCTCCCCAGAGCAGACTCACTACCACACATGGGCCCTTAGTGACAGCTGCAGAGTACCTCTTCTCTCTGACCAGTAGCCGGGAAACAAAGTCCTTGGCCTCTTCTGACAGTCCTTCAAAGGTGTCAGCATCGAAGTCCCAGCTGCAGTTCACAATGAAATTCATGGTCTCTGCATCTGTGTCCCCTAGAAATGGGGACAAACCACTGAGTCTACAGAGGAGAGAGAGGAATATCAGCACAGTAAATGGAAACCACACTTACCAAATGCTTCTTCAGTAGAATACACAAGCAATTTATGAGACCCAAGCAGACCTAACCAGAACCAACAGAGTTCAAGACAAAAGTAGCTCTGTTACTTCTCCACTGGATATAGTTCAGTATTAATTTAAGGGAGAAGGTGGAAGGATGTTCAGAATAAGGCTCCATCACCGTCACCTCTTTCCCCCTTGTCTCTCAGGTAAAGGAAAATGGGAGCCTGACTCAATATACCCAGTAATCAACTATATATTAATTTATTATTTTATTTTATTTTTAAAATTTTATGTATTTGGTGTAGGGCCTCACTACGCAGCTTGGACTCATAGTGATCTTCCTGTTTTCAGCCTCCCAAGTGCTGGGATTACAGGCATGTACCACCATGCCTGGACTCTGTTGGCAGCTCAGCAAACCTGAGGGCTGGGCCAGCATGGCATGCGGTATGGGGGATCAAACCTGGGTCCGCTGAGCTATCTCGCCGGCCCTCGGGTATGTATTAATTTAATTTTGAAATAGCAGTCTGTGTTTCTCAGTCTGGATCATGTAGGTACGACCCTCACCTCACAGCCTCGCTGGCTGACCAGGGGCTCCAGACTTCCCCAAGCTGGTACCACAGACGCATGCGAAGTGCAGGAACACAGCCAGCACTTGTGCAATAGGTCAAGAAACATGATTTTGGCCCCAAGGAGAGAGCCACGGGAAGTCCAGAATTGGAGAGACGAAAGCAGGGAGCCCTAGGTCAGCAGTGAAAGGATGGGGTACACAGTAGTGTCCTGGCCTCAACCCCTTGGGGCAGTCCTCCCCCGCTTGTACCCAAGCACCTTCATTTCTTTGCTGGAGGGCTTTTATTCCTGTTCAAGCTTGCTTCATGCACCCAGAAGTGCCTGGAAGTTCATTCAATCAGCCCACAACGTAAATTAAATAACTGGGTGAGTGTTCTGCAAAGTCCAGAGTTTCCCAGATGTTCACAGGTGGGCTTTATTTCTTGATCGTTAATACCTTTAAGGGCCGGCCAAATAGCTCAGTGGATTAAAGCGCCTGCAAGCAGGAGCAGGGGCCGGGCGTTGGATCCCCGAGCCTGCCGTGCCGGCCCCTTCCCCTAGTTGTGCTGAGACCGGGCGTGGTGGCGCGTGCCTGTAATCCCAGCTCTTGGGAGGCTGTAAACAGGCGGATCACTAAGAGTCTCCAGTAGTGAGACCCTGAACACCCTATAGACCCTTCCCTAAAATTAAAAAAAAAAAAAAAAAAATCCACACACAAAAAATCTTTAGTTATTTTCAATTATATTATGTGCATCAAAACCCTCAACAGCTTAGCCTATGAATTTGATGCAGCTGACACCTGAGGCATTCAGACTTTCACTCTGGGGAATGACGTCTGCATGTCTCATTTCCCCCTCAACATTAGCTTATGATAATAAATTACCGTTAGAATGAATTTAAATAAAGAAACTGGCTCATAATGGACCCTCACCTGGCTGCTTTTTCTTCCTCCTCCCTGTTTTACTCCTCTACCGAGGTTCCCTAGAATACTTCCCAAATAAACTTCAAATTTTTGATGCTTGTCAGAGTAGGCGAAGTAAGACAGATGGCCCCAGCCCCACCTCACACCCAGGCCCCTGGAGCACTCACAGCATGTAGGCGATGACGCCCACACTCCACATGTCGGTGGGGAAGGAGACAAACTCATAGTTGACAACTTCTGGGGCTAAGAACTCAGGAGTACCAAAATTCACTTTCAGCTTTTCCCGAGGCTTGTACCTGGGGAGAAAGAGCACAGAGAACGAGGGGCGGAGGGCCTTGGGGCAGATGCTGGGAAGGGACTGATTCCCAGGGGAGAAGCCGCTCCTCAAGCCTTACCATCAGACACACTGCCTCAGCCTCTTTCATACCACACGCGTATTTTACTGGGGCAATAATCACACCCCTGGCCTCAGCCTTCAGGCTTTTCTAAGCTAGCAGTAGAATCAGAGAACCACAGTCCTCCGACACTTGCAGTCCGAAGAAGAAAGAATATCTGTATCTTATTCAACACATAACCATGTGGGCAGGTACAAATAAGGTGGGAGATGTTGGGCAGAGAGGGCTGTTGGCTTATGCATGTAGCTGGTGGATGATGGTAAAATTTGAAAAAGAGGAAGAGATGCATTTGCACAAGGGAATGCTAATCAAAGCCATGATATAATATACTGCTTTCTACCCACCAGGATGGTTCGCATATTTAAGTCTGTCAGTGAGATCATACAGTCTTATGGGACAAGAGTGTAGAGAAACTAGAAACACTGTCAGTGTTGCAAGAAGAAATGCTCTGGAGATTAGTTAATCAACAACACACTATATTATAGCTGTGCTCCTGAACAGTACATGTAAATATTAATATAGTAATTGTATTTATTCATTACTTTGTCCTAAATGACAAAAGTATGACTGCAGTTTACAGCATGATGTTTTGGCATATTTATAGATTTTGGAATGCCTACATTAAACGAATTAACATATGGATTATTCTACTTACTTTTATGTGAAAAGAACACTTCAAATCTATTCTCTTTATAGTTTTTAAATAGGCAATATATTGTTATTAACATCATTTAGTACTTGGATTTCTTGAATTTACTCTTTACCTAATTAACGATATGTTAGCCAACATCTCTCCAGTGCCACTGGCTTTGCCCCTGGTGAACATCATTCTATATACTACTCCTGTGAGTTCATCTCTTTTAGATTCCACACATAAGTGAGATCATGCTTCATTTATCTTTCTGTACCTAGTATTTTTTCTTAGCATAATCTTTCACCCCAGCACTTGGGAGGCTGAGGCAGGAGGATCATTGGGAATTTGAGACCAGCCTGGGTTACAAATTGAGTTCAAGTCCAGCCTGAACTGTATAGCAAGACCCTGTCTCAAAAAGACAAAATAATAATACAATAATGTCCTTCTGATTTATACATCCTGTCTCAAATGACAAGATTTCCTTTTTTTTTTAAAGGTTGAACAGGGCTAGGGAGATAGCTTAGTAGAATAAGTGCCTGCCTGGCAAGCACAGGGTCCTGAGTTTAATCCCTGATTCCAGGCAAAAAAGAAAAAAAGGTTGAACAGTATTCTATTGGTTATATGTACTGTACCACTTTCCTTTTATCCCTTCCTCCACTGATGGACACTGGGTGGTAAATTTTGTACTGTATTTTTTAAAAAATGTATTTGGTACAGGGTTTCACTACACAGCTCAGACTTGTAAGCAATCCTCCTGTTTTCATCCTTCCCAGCACTGGCATTACAGGTATGTGTCACCATGCCCAGACTTGGTGACCAACTCAACATACCTAGGGGCAGGGCCGGCATAGCATGCATATTGTATGTTTTTTTTTTTTAATTATAACTCCAAAATGAAAGAATCAGAACTGGGTATCCTGTGCCTATAATCCCAGCACTTTGGAGACTGAGGCAAGAGAATAACCACAAGTTCGAGGTCAGCACTTTCTACAGTCTCACAGGAAACCTCACAGGTGTATGAGAGCCCTCTCACCCCGCCTCTCTCCTGAAATGGATTTGTGCTCTGATTGCAATTTGAGCCCCAGCCTGGGAGTTGGAAGACTCCCAACATGATAGAGAACCAGATTAAGATGTTTCTACTCCCGTTACGACTCTTGGCCCATCACGTTACTCCTAGATCACTAATGAGGTCACTGCCCAGGGTGGGCAATCCTGGTCTCCCTTGCTGCAAATGGTGGCCTGAAGATTCATACAAACTCTTACTCTACCACAGGCCATGCCACCACTATGATTCCAACACCTTCTCCTGGCCTCTACCAGAAATAAATCTTTGGGTTGGGGATATAGCTCAGCAGCATAGTGCCTGTCTGGCAAGCTTAAGGTCCCAAGTTCAATCCCCAGTACCAAAAAAAATAAATAAATAAATATTAAACCTTCATTTTCTGCAGTTTGTAGTAAGAGGGCAATTGGCACTTCCCCCTCTTCATACATATTTCATTCTTCTGCAGCACAGAATATGCTTTGTCAACCTGAATGACGCCCCCAGAGCCTTCCCTGTGGAAGGACACCCTTCCCAGGAAGCAGGCCAGTTTGCACAAACCAGTTTGGCAAAAGCCAGTTTGTCAAATGATCCTTTGGTTGACTGACCCATCCCAGACAATTGAGGATGTTTTTGATGTTTGCTGCCCATCCTCCAGTCAGCAGTGGTGGCTCTGTCAGCCCAGACCCATCAAGTGCAGTTTCCTGCTCAGTATGTTCGCAAAGGTGGCTTCCCTTAGAGGTGGTTCCCTATACGTGCTTTCCTGGACATGCCCTCTGCCTCTCATGCTGCTGGCAGAGTTATCCTCACCGGTGGCCTTGGTCAGATTAGCAGTTTGGGTGGAATGGCCACTCCGAGGCAGGCTTCTGGCTAACTCATTTCTTGTTAAGTTGACTTCTAGTCCTTATCACCTCTCTGCCAGGTAGGTAAGACTCAGTGACCTAAAAGATGACACTCAAACATGTGGACCTAGCATTCAGGACTCACCTGAATGCACTCACCTTCTGCTGTGTCTTCTCTTTTTGTGGTTCTGGGGATTGAACTCAGGACCCTACACTTGCCATGCAAGCGCTTATTCTACTGAGCTATCTCCCCAACCCTGCTGCGTCTTCTCTAGACTGGCAGGCGTACAGGGCAAACGTCTCACTCCTGGCCCCAAAGCCCACACTGCCTCCCCACCTCCCTCCAGCAACTCTGCTCCCCTGACTTGCACAGGTGCCCAGAGGCCACTGTGTGTGTCGCCTCCCAGCTCTGCATTTAGTGGCATCACACCAAAATGAGCAAAAGTTGCTCCCAAGCTGGTGATAAAACATTTGCCTGCAATTAGTTGCAAATAATAAATCCTGTCTGCCTGGCCCTTCTTGCTGTTTAGAGAAGCCTGCCTTAATTCCAGGAGCTTCTTGTGGTAGTGTCCTGCTCTGAATTCATGTGGCCACTGGTCATCTGGCATTTGAGTGCACTGCACATACTCGTGTGCATTCTTAGCGAAGACAGTATTGCCTTTCGGTGAATGAGAAATGTTTCTCGGGGTTCAAAAATTATGACAAAAAAGCTATTATAAAAAATTGTGGCTCTCTAACAGGCCATAGTATATATGCAAACACATTTGAACAGGGAGGCCAGGTGATTAGGGGAAAAAATATGAACGGCCCCTTGGGGAGCAGGTAGTGATATGCTCTGGCATTTAAGACATGCAAGTGTGTTAAGGTAATTCCAAATTTAGAAAACATTATGAGATGTGGTCAAAATATATGAGAAATGACTAAATGTTTTAAATGTTTTTGGGCTGGTGAGATGGCTCAGTGGTCTAAAGCTACTTAGAACAAGCTTAGCAAAGCACAGGGACCTACGGTTCAATCCCCCAGCACCACATGCCAGCCAGCCCTGCCCCCTGGTGGGCTGAGCTGGCCACACACACACACACACACACACACACACACACACTAAATAAATAAATAAACTTAAAAAAATGTTTTTCCATAAACAACACATGGCCATTAATGCCCCTCAAAATACTCATCCTGGCACAGGATAGTCTACAAGGCATCAAACATTTTAAGGAACTTTAAGAAATTTTTAAAAATATATGGGTGTTCCCTTGAAGTCACTGAGACTTGAGAACCAAACCACGCTCACAGGATGGGCGGCACTGCCCACGTGTATGTAATCTCAGTTGGCCCTCAGCCGTCACTATGTGCCACCACTTACCAATAATCAGGCTTAAGTGGCTCCAGGGCCACTTGGCCAAGGTGTGGCACTTCCCTACTCTGTCACACATGAGTTTTCATATTGAACCTCATCACACCCCAGCCCAGCTGGGCCCAGATAGCCTGGGGGGTCCATAGACTGAGCGGTCAGCACCCCTTCTTCATCCCCCATTAGCAATTGGGCTCTCTTCTCAGGAGTTCGAAGCACAGTTAATCCCACAGCCTTTTAGGGCTGCAGTGGGAACAAGGCCAGCCTGCAGACCAAAGGCCACTCACTGGTCTCTGAGTGAGGGTGCTCCCTTGCTTCCATCCCAAACTCGAGTTGTGTAACTATGCCCAAGAGAAATACCAAGGGTCCCCAGGACTTTTGTTAATGTATCAAAATAAAACCCCCTTACCTTCTGGCCAGCCCGAAGTCAATGATTTTGATTTGGTATCCTGTCTGACTGACACACAGTATGTTCTCTGGCTGGAAAAGAAGAAGTCTGTTTATCCCGGTGAGCAGCTCCGGGGTTTGCAGCTGCTGCATGTCTAGGTATACGGGCTTTGGCTGCCTGCTCAGGTGCCACCCCATGGCTTGGGGCTGCCCTTGGGGCTTAGACAGGTAATTACAACAAATACAGTGGGCTGTGAGACCATAGGACCGGCATTGCTCAGCCCAGCTGCTGGTCAGCACGCCAGGAATGCAGGCACAAGAGACACTTCTCAGTCCTTCAGAGGATCCCAAAATGCAGCGGTTTGTTGTTGTTGTTTTTGTATTTTAGGGAAGGGTCTACAGGGTGTTCCGGGTGTCACTACTGGATCGGACTCGTAGTGATCTGTGTGTTTACACCCTCCCAAGAGCTGGGATTACGGGCGTACACCACCAGGCTCAGTCTCAATTGCCATTCTCAGTGTGTCCTGGGGGTGGGGCTGGCACGGTAGACCCAGGGATAGAAAAGGCCCCTGTGCCTGCTTACAGGTGCTTTAATCCACTGAGCTATTTGGCCAGCCCTCCAAAATGCAGTTTTTCTGTGTGTGAAAGTTCATGCTTTTAAACTCACCTGTATCACTATGGAAGACAAACTGGAAACCTCCACAGTGCACTTTTGGCTGGGGCAACACATGAAGGTTGTCAGGGAATCTTTAAAGGTCCTCATGCCCAGGCCGCAGCCCTGACCCACAGCATCAGAATCACTGGTCTGGTGCCCGAGAACAGAGCTGCTAAATGCCAGCTTGCCAATATGTAGTGGCAGCTGTGACCGAGGGCTGGGGATGGTGGCCCTGACATAGTTCTTCTTTTAGTCTTTCAGGTCAACTACTCTAAGGCCCCAAGAGAGCCTGCAATAGTGCCTGCTTGTGCACAGCACTGTGGGGTCAGGTGTGGGGAGCGGAGATGGGAGGTCTGTGACAGAAAGACCCAAGGGGCCTGGAATCCGGGGCTGAGGTCCAGGGGTCCTTGATGTGGTCTTGTAGCACTAGATGAGGCCTTTTCCATTTTCAAACCTCCATGTCTCCAGTTTAAAATGGAAACAATAACCACTTCCTGCCAGTCTTTCTGGGATGGTGAGAGGATCAAATGATGTAATGTATATGACATACTTTACAACCAATGTTTTAAAAAATCTGTGGTTTTGTTTTGGAGCCAAGCTCTTACCTCAGCCTTCTGAGTATGGAATTACAGGTGTGCGCTACCATGACTAGTGAAAAAAATCTCGTCTTTATAACCACACTGTCCAACAGGGTTGTGTAAAGGGAGCCACAAATATGACTTAATGGTGAGATCAAGGCCAACCTGAACTACATAGTGAGAACTTGTCTCAAAAAATCAAAAACACACCAGGTGTGATGCTGCGTGCCTATAATCCCAGCACTCAGGAGGTGGAGGAAGGAGCATTGTGAGTTCAAGACCAGCCTGGACTACAAAGTGAGCTCAAGGCCAGCCTGAACTGCACAGCGAGAACCTGTCTCAAAAAGACAAAAGCAAAACAAACAAAAAAACAGCCAGTAGTGGTGACACATGCCTATAATCCCAGTATTCTGGAGGCTAAGGCAGGAGGACTGCCATGAGTTCTAGGCTAGTCTGGGCTACATATGGATTGGGAACCAGCCTAAATGACACAGCAAGACTCTTTCTCAAAAACAAACAAACAACAAAACAAAACAAACACAGACCACCCCACACCCATTGTTATTCACTGTCCATTTTTCCTTTCCAGCTTCTGGCAATGGATAATGCATTTTTTAATCTCCCTAAGATTTGCTTATATTGAGACCTTTATATAAATGGAATCATAAAACATGCAGCCTTTTTATATGCAGCATCTTTTACTTGGCATGATGTTCTTAAGTTTCATCCGTATAATATTTATTAGTACTTCATTCTTTTTCATGGCTAAATAACATTCCATTATATAGACATACCATATTTTATTTATCCATTCATCAGTTAATGAACAGCTAGGTTGCTTCTACTTTTTGGCTGCTATGAGTCACACTGCTAAGAACATATGTGTGTAAGTTTTCATGTTCATGTTTCAGTTCTCCCAAGCATGTACTTAGGAATTTCAGGGTCATATGGTAATTCTATTTTTAGGAATTGTCAGTCTGGTTTCAAAGTGGATGTACATTTTATAATTGTGCCAATAATATATGAAAATTCAAATTTTTCCATATCTTAACTAACACTTACATTTGCAATTTTTATTTTATTCAGTTTAGGGGTTATAAAGTGGTATTTCATTATTGTTTGATTTACATCCCACTAATAACTAATGTTGATTTTTTTTCATGTACTTATTGGTCTTTGTATATCTTCACTGGACATAGGTGTATTAAAATTCTTCACTTCTTTCTCTTTCTCTCTCTTTTTTTCAGTGCTGGGAACCAAACCCAGCCCTCACACATGCTGTGCAAATGTTCTACCACTGAGCTACATCCCTCACCCATTTCACTATTTTTAATTGACTTGTCTTTCTATTATTGAGTTGTAAGAGTTTTTAAAAATATATTCTAGGGGGCCTGCCCATTAGCTCAGTTGTTTAAGTGCCTACTTAAACAAAGCAGTCAGCCTCAGAGTGCTGTGGTTCGATACCCAGATACTCAAGCCAAACCAGACCTGCGCTGAAGGAAACCTGAGGCCACAAAATATATATATATATATATATATATATATATATATATATATTTATATTCTAGAGGCCAGGGAGATGGCTCAGTAGAATAAGCACTTCCCTGGCAAGTGCAAGGGCCTGAGTTCAATTCCCAGTTTCGAAAAAAAAAATATATATATATAATACATATATATATATACTCGATATAAATATCATAGTTAGTATATGATTTGAAAATATCTTCTCCCATTCTGTGAGCTGTCATTTCATGTTTTCTTTGAGGTGCTGGGAACTGAACCTAGGGCCTTTCCACTGAGCTATGTCTCCAGTCTTATTTATTTATTTATTATGTATTTAGTACAGTAAAAAAAAATAGTACAGGGTCTACAGGATCTTACTACACAGATTGGAGTTGTAGTGATCTTCCTGTTTTCAGCCTTCCAAGTGCTGGGATTACAGGTATCTGCCACCACGCACAGACTCAGTCTCTTTTTATTTTTTATTTTGAGACAGGGTCTCACTATGTTACTAAACTGCTCAGGTTGGGCTCAGACTTCACCAAAATTTAGCTAAATTGCCCAGGCTGTGATCTTTCTGATTCAGCCTCTCAGAGTGATGGGATTATAGGGATGTACCATCACACCCAGTTCCTGGGTTTTGTCTTTTGAAGTCACTGTTTCATTCTTAAAGAACATCTCAGTGCAGACCCTAAGTTTTCCTCAAGTTATTTTTTTTAAATTTTATTTATTTATTTGTGTGTGTGTGTGTGTGTGTGTGTGTGCGGCCAGCTCAGCCCACCTGGGGGCGGGGCTGGCTGGCATGTGGTGCTGGGGGATTGAACCGAGGTCTCTGTGCTTTGCTAAGCTTGTTCTAAGTAGGTGATTTAGATCACTGAGCTATCTCACCAGCCCTCCTCAAGTTATTTGTCCTGGGTTTAGAGTTCAGGAAATCTGTAGTTGAGAAATAAATATACATGTTCCAAAAATGTACTAAAATTTTTTCAATAATTGGATCAAGTGTCAGTTTTTACATATACATTAATTAAAACTAGTGAAATTGAAAATTCATCAGTCACATTAGCCACATCTTAAGTGCATGATTAGCACTTGTGGCTGGTGGCTGCTGGATCGGACAGCACAGCTGCAGTGTGCATCGTCTGTATCCTGATCCACAGGACATTTGTAGCAGTATTATTCTCCATGCTTTACAACTGATGAGCTCATACGTTCACAACCAGACAATAGTTAACCAAGACCAGTCTTGCTCTGGGTTGGGAAATGGGCCTCAGCAAATATTGCAAGGTCACAAAAATTACCTCAAGACTCATCCTAGACTCAAGTACAGAGTGGAGTCCTGAGCTTTCCCTAGGGCCCGCCCCATAAGAGCTTGCCCAGGAGGCTTGGAATTAGCTTTAAAGACTGAAGCCAACTCGCCATTCCACCCAACACTTTCCCAATACCCCAACTTTATAGTCAGATTCCAATCAGAAAAGATGGTCAGAAGGAGCAACATGCACCCATACTGGGGCAGCATTGGCTTCCCATCTCTTTCAAGGAGCCTCTGAAATGTATCCCTTCCTGAGATAGCTGTGGAAAAACATTCTGTTGGCTCCATGGATTAGAAGAATCACAGAAAATACCAGTATGGATCAAGCTTTATTACCAGCTAGGAATTATGCATGGGCTTTATGTACAGGACATGCTAAGGACACTTCTGAGAGACAAAAGGAAAGGCAATGCATTCATTTAATGGAGTATCACTTGTCCCTTTGTTAGAATGAGAAAAGATATCTACAATGCTGTATTAGCTCAAAGAAGCAAGATGAAAAACAAAATGCATCATATAGTACCCAGTGTGTGCTTGTGTGTGATACCAGGCTAGCAGCCCACAGAGAGGACTTCTCTTCATGGAGACAGGATGGGCAAGCCTCCCACTGTGTATTCTATACACTTTGATATTGCCTACATCTGTCACCACAAGCACATGTTCCTTTTGGAAGCTTTAAACAACTAATCTTAATGATATTGTTTAAGAGAAAAGGGTGACTGTTTCCTTTAATCCTCCAACTTAAAGAAATTGAGTTTCCCACAAGTTACAGATGGAAGAACCATGAGGCAGCACAGCTGGCCAGCCCCAGACTCCAGAACTAGGAAGTGACAGAGACAAGATGGAGGTCAGCGTTGCTGAAAGGGGTCTCAGCCATGAAGTGCACCAGAGGCTCAGCACTGGGGAGCCCACAGTCCATACGCCAAAGGCAGAACCCACCTTGAGGTCTAGGTGCAGGATGTAGTGCTGGTGGAGGTAATGCACACCCTCACAGATCTGCCTGGTAAACAAGACCACGTCCAGTTCGGTCAGGTGGTACTTTTCATCTGTGATCCGGTCAAAGAGCTCACCCCCATCCACACTGCCAGAGGAAGGGAGAGGCAAGCACCAGACTGAGCAGAGCTCTGAGCGCTTGTCCACTTTTCACCTAGAAAATGGCCCACGTGAAGTCAAGGCTGGCCACACCAGAAGTCATAGGGCTGTTGCCATCACCATCAGGGGTTGTGTCAGGACCTTTGCTCAGGCCATTCCAGCAAAGTCCAGGTGGTAAAAAGGACACGAGGAGCCACAGAGATGACAAGATTGTCTCACTCTGGATAATCTAGGCCAGAGTTGCAAATTTATTTGCCAGTGGAGGCAATGAATACTTATAGGATAAGAGGCCAAAGTTGACAAATTAGATGGAGACAAAAGTTTTTTGAAAACACATCATCCTTAGTCTATCCTTTGCTTCTCCACTTTTGACAGCTACGTGGCATGACAAATGTTTCCTTACCAGAAGAAAAAAGCAATACAAATACAAGCAGCTACTTGACCTGTGGCCTCGGGGCCAGGCAGTGGGCCCGGAGGGCGTGGTGGGGATTGTGGAAGACCAGTGGCCCTGTCCACAGATGGCAGCCCCTGTGAGCTCCAGCGCTACCTTGGCCAGCTCAGCATTACTGCCCAACTATTGTGTAACAATATCTATTATGTAACTCTTCCAATTTCCAAATGTTGACAACTAAAATTCTATAATTACTAAAGTTTTCTGAATTTAACTTCTAATTTTAAATTCAATTTGTAGATTTTTCTAAACTTGCTAAAAATTACTAAAATATTTTAAAGCTAAACTGACATAACATCGGCAGGTCAAAGCAAGGTCAGTGGCCTAGTTTGTGTGACGAAATGGTTTTGTCCTCCATGTTCTGTACTGGAATTCAATCAGCCAAGCCTAGGAAATGGGCTTGGCATGGCACAGCCCTGGGTCTCCCAGTGAGGGGCAAGGAAAGACAGCCCTGCCTGCAGTAAAGGCCCTGGCCAAGGAAAAACCACGCCCCCCCCAAGACACTCACTACTCCATGACGAGAGTAAAGCTGTTCTTGCTCTCAAAGGCATCATAGAGCTGGATCAGGTTCACATGGCTCAGCTGGTTCATGATGTTGATCTCATTCTTCACATCCTCCTTGTGGAAAGAGAAGAAGGGGATTCCAAGCAAACAGGTCAGGAAGATGAGCCAGTTGGACCTCCCAGGACAAGTGGGCCAACAGGCACACAACTCCTAGCCTTGATGCCATGCTGTCACACCAGGTCCCTGACTCCCTGCCCAGCCACATTATCACATTAGAGGGCTTTAGCTCAACCCTCCTGAATCCTAGCCAGAAACCTACAGCCCAAGAAGGAAAGGGCCTTATTGCCTACAGGCCCACAAGCAAAGCCATGCTGGACGGCTACATGTGTAGACCTGGGTCTGGAGGGAAGAGTGTGAGGTCACCTGTGTAGAATCTGGGAGTCACAGAAAAGAGACAGGAAAAGCACTGGGTTCCCTGTTCAGCATAGGGCAACACAGACCCAGGGGGCTATGAAGGATGGGAAGGAGACCGGAGCTTGGCTCAACGGGCCTGGCTGACCCAGCGCAGGTGCCTCACCCTGTCCTTGGCACTTTTCACTTTGATGATCTTGGCAGCCAGTGGGAGGCCTGTGGACTTCTCTGTGCACTTGTGGACCTGGCCAAACCGGCCCCTAGGAAGACACAGGGACAGAGAAGGCTGAGAGCACAGGAAGCGGCCCAGGCACAGCAAGCCCCTGCCCCCAGGGGGCCGGTCCTACTCCCTTCCTGGTCCTGCTCCCAGGCCCCAGGGCATGCCCTAGTCATGCCCCCACCACAAAGGCTATGCTGAACCCTAGAAAATAACTGTCTCACATGGTTTATTCGGAATCCTAAGGAAAACGCTCCTAAGTGCACTCCAACGTGCTTTCCTGCATCCCAGGGAACAGCCCTCACCTCACTCCCCACCACAGGGGCTCTCTGCACTCCAGAGGACACCCCGCTCGCTGTACTTACGTCAGCTCTGCTGTCACCTGTCCTGCTCACACATCCTACTGGGGGGCCCTCCTGCACCCCTGGGCCACAGGACTTTAGGGCTCCTTCTCAAACCACTCTCTGTGGGCTATCCCTCAGTCTCTCACTGGGCAGGACTGGATCTGAGGCTGAGAACCATCCTGCAGGGCCCTCCCTGTTCCTGCTCCCACCCCAGGGAGGCAGACATCCACCTACCCTCCCAACACTTGGTGCTGGCACACTGTGTATCCTGCAGAGATTGGCGTCTCCTTGACACTCACCACCCGGTGTTCAAAGGGGGCTCCGGGGGCTGGGCTGTCATCTATTCAGGAGAAAAGGGACCTGTGAATCTCCCATATGTATTGTGCCCCACCTCACTTCCCAGCCCTGGCATTTGAAAGCTCCTTCTCCACCATCATCTCAGTAAGTCCCACTTAGCAGAAGTGGAAGCTGAGTCCCAGAGAGACAAGGAGAGTCCAGAGCAACACAGGGAGGCAGAACAGATGGGATTCACACCTAGGTCTCCTGGCCACTAGGGTAGTGATCTTTGCAAGGCTATGAAGTGACATCCAGTCTGTTCACCCTGGGTGAATCAGTGCGGTCCAGAGGGAAGAGCACACCGTGGAGCAGGGGCTAATGATGGGGCTTCCTTTCAGCAGACCAGCATTCTATCATGAGCTACATCACCAGCCTCTTCTACTTTATTTTACTTTTGAGACAGGGCCTCACTGAATCGCCCCAGCTTGCCTTCCTGTTGCACTCCTTTCTGTGAATCTCCTAAGTAGCTGAGAGTCAGGTGTGCAGACTGCACCCAGCTGAGGAGACTGTGTTCAGAGGTAAAGGGCTGCTGTGGAAACCATCCAGGGCAGTGCAGGAGGGAGGAGCCTGGAGAAATTCACATGTACCCTTTCTCCTTCCCTCTTGGTCTCCTGACAGCTGTGCCCTCTAGATGTTAGAGGGTAAGAGCCCCAGGAGAGCCCATGGAGCGTGGAGCCGGGAACGGGACAGGGGAGCGGAGGGGGCACAAAGGACAGCTAGCACGCAGAAAGATAAATGTAGTTTAGGGATATATATATATATATATATATATATATATATATATTTCTTCCAAGATGCTATACATGCCTAGTAATATTACATGAAATAAGGGATAAAGCAGAATCCAGACCATGCGCCAAACAGTGACGTGAAGCGGTCTGTGGTGAGGGCTGGGAAATGGGCAGCAGGATGCCCTGGCCCTGGCTCAGGGGTTTCCCGGGCACCATTCTGGCTCTCCAGCCACGGGCAGCACTGAGTGTGGCCCTAAGTCTGTGGGTCACAAGAACAGACTTAGGATGCCTCTCAGCCTGCCCCCACCACAAGCAGGTCAGCAGCCTCACTGTGTTCTCTTCCTGGTGGGAGTCAGCTCTCTGGGTGGGCAGGGCTGAGGGTGGCCATGCGCACCAGTTAGTGTCCTTGCTTTTTAATAAGGACTTTCTCTGTCTCAATTAAAAGTGGCACCAACATCCAAAAGCTGAAGAGGCAGGCTTTGAGAAGTCCACCGGGTTGGGCCACGCGGGGCCTCTCCTCCCTACCACTGGTTTGGGCCACGTGGGTCCTCTCCTCCCTACCACAGAGCTGGGCCACGTGGAGCCTCTCCTCTCCACCGTGGCAGCCAGCCTGACCTCTGCCCTTTGCAGCCCCGGGGAGAACAGGCAAGTTATCTCAGGCTACCCCAGCTCTGCACCACTCAACCCTGGAAGCAGCAAGAAAGCCCGCAGGGCACAGCCTCCCCACCCACCATCTCAGACTTTGCATCCAGTATGGAGCCAAGGAACAGCCTTGCTTACCCAGAACCGTGCTGCTGGCCTCCGCAGCTAGGGGTGGCCGCCCACCTGCCTCGGCTCTCCCCAGGCCTCCAGCTGTGCGGTCTCTCACAGGATCAGGGGGTCCCACTCCTGGGCCTGTTTCCTGCTGTGTCCCCAGGGCCTCAGGGGCAGCGAATCCTTTGTCCCTTCTTCCTATGATGGACTCGGCCCCAGACCACTGCTTCTGGTCTGCTGGGAGGCTGCTCCTCCTGGGTGGTGGTAGCGGTGGTGGAGGGGGAATCTCCCCAGCTCCCCAAGAAGTCTGCGCTCCAAACTCAGTCGCAGTGGCCTGAGGACAGCGCCTGGGCCCATGCAGGTCCTGCTCACCTGGACAGGCAGCTGTTGGAGTCTCTGTAGAGAGAACGGGTGTGAGGCTGCCCCTTCGTGTCACAAGCAGTTCTCCAGGAGTATCCATCTGGTGCACATGAATGGAGATCCTAAGGGGAGAGAAACAGGGCCTGGGGGTTAAAAGCAAGAGCTGCTGTCAAAGAGACCTGGGCTCTAGGGCCCCTGCTGCCAGACACTGGCAGTGCCCTTGGCCTCAGCCCTCTACGTGTACAGTGCAGACCTTAGGGCCGTGGCGGGGTACAGCAGCAAGAGTCTCTGTGGCAGGAACCAACAGACCGACTCCGGGACCACCCTGGCCAGATGGGATGGAGGGGAGGTGCTGGCTCGGGACAAACGGTGCTGTCACTCTCGGGATCGCATGAAGTGAGGGTCCAGGGAAAGCTGGAGATGGGTAACCCCTGGTGGACATGTTGGGAACCAGATGCCTCTGAGGCTCCTCGAAACATACTTCTGCCTCAGGAGGACTGCGGCCAGAAGGTGGGAGATCCACCTGCCCCTGAGCCTCAGTTTCCCTTTCAGTTCAATGAGAAGAAGGAGGAACCCAGCCCAACAACACCGTGGAAGCTCAGGTCTGACACGTTTGATTAAAATCAAGCAAATTCTCAAAAAATAAAATAAAATCAAGCAAATTCTAAAAAAAATGATTGACTTTCTGTTTCTCTTAAGTAAACAGCAGCCCTGGCTGTGCAGAGGCTTTGTGCCCACAGAGCTGAAGAGCCGCTCTCCGCTTCCCGCACACTCCACTGTGCCCCAGCTGTGCCTTCCTGGCCTCTTCAATGAGTGTCACTATGCAGATGCAGCGACACTGAGACCTGATGTTCAGAGGAGGGACTGTGAGGGGGCAGCTCAGATCCCCACTCAGAGCTGTGCCCCGGCTCTGGCTGCCCCTCACGGAGACTTCCTCTTGTGGGATCAGAATCCTATGTGAGGTGAGAGGAGCCAGGCAGCATGGTCCTGGACTTTCCTCTGCCAGACAACATGGAAGAGTCCAGCTGGGTTTGCTCTTCTGTCACACAGAGCAGGTAACACTTTCAGATGAATGGAGAGGGTCAACTAAGACAGGGATGCCAAAGGCGACATTCGAAAAGCAAAGGCTGAGATGGTGCAATGACTGTAACTTGATGTAGTTAAACAATGAGGTAACTTGAGTAGTTAAACTTACAAAGACAAGGGGCCAGGGAGATGGCTCAGTAGAAAAACTGAAGGTGTTTTAAAATATGAAAAGTGGCATAGACTACTTTGTAGGAATTGCAATTCAGGATATATATCCCAAAGTACTGAAAGCAGAGTCAGAGGTGTTTGTACGGCCATGTTCCTAGCTTTATGCACAAGAGCTCCAGGGTGTGAGCGACCCCAATGCCCAGTGAAGGGTGAGGGGATGGACAGAGCCTCATATGTGCCCACAACTGAATATTACTCAGCCATAAATAAAGGAAAAAAATTTCACAAGTTGTACAACCAGATGAATCCTGAGGACAAATTCTAAGTGAAATAAACCAGCACAAGAAGATAAATACTGCATGATCCCACTGAGAAGAGGTAATTTGAGTAGTTAAACTTACAAAGACAAGGGGCCAGGGAGATGGCTCAGTAGAAGTGCAAGGTTCTGAGTTCAATCCCTGGCTCCGAAAACAAACAAACAAACAAAGAAAGAAACAAAAAAACACCTTACAAAGACAGAAAGTGGAATGGTGCCTACGAGGGGCTGAGGTAATAGGAATGGGACGGGGGAGTTGTTCTTTAATGTATGCACGGTTGCAGTTTGTAAGATGAAAAATTTCTGTTGATTTGTTTCTCATCAGTGCAAATACACATAACACTACTGAGCCATGGACGTAAAAGTGGGTAAGTGTGCAGGGGCATAGCCCAGTGGCATAGTCCTTGCCAATCATGTGGGAATCCCTGGGTTCTCTCCTTAGCTGCCCCGAAAAAGTTAAGATGGTAAATTCTATGTTATGTGGGTTTTTAAAATTACAATTTTAAAGAGAACAAATAATAAGGCCGTTCTTCAGCTCTCTGGGCTGCTGGGCCTCTGTGGGCAGTGCCTGACCCTGTGTGGGCACTAAGGGATTGACAGTCTCTCCACAGCCATGCACTGGGCAGGGAGCAGAAATTCTGCCAGTGCCACCTCAAGGGACTATTGTGGGAAGGACCCTATCTGAGTCAAGCCACCCCAAACCTAGTTTGAGCTTCCTCCAAGACTGAGGGACACAGGAAACTGGCAAGGTAGTTGCTGGAGGAATATCCCATGGTCAAGTAAGAAGGCCAATGCCACCAGTCCCTCTTTGGTCTCCCTTTCTGTGAGCCATGCACTAACGCCAAAGCCACAGCCACATAGTTCCGTGCTGTTGTAGCTTGTATCTAGATGTCCTCCCAAAGCCCCATATAGGTAGGGCTTTTCAGACATAGCTGGATCTAGAGTGTGTGATGCCAGGGTGTGTGCTTACTCAATTCATCCCACTGATTGGTCTGACATAGTTCTGGGCATGGACAACAGGAGGGCCCACCTTGGGTGTGAGTGTTACCCACTCTAAGGGCAGGATGCCTGGACAGAATATAAAGGACAGAAAGAGGATCTGCTGCCACGGCTTGCTGGCTGCTCCTTGCTGGGTGCTACGTCGCTGCTGGCAGCCTTCTGTCAACTCGGCTGCGCTCTGAGCTGTCTTTCCTCTGCCATGCCACCCTGCCTTGGAGCAAGCCAACTATGCACTGAAACCTCTACAAATTCTGAGCCAAAGTAAACCCTTCCTTTTTGAACTTTGGGTGTCAGTTATTTTGTCTCAGCAATGAAAAAAATAACTAAGACACATGCCACTTTTAGTGTCTCAAGCTTTCTCACTACCGCACGATTCCACAGTAAACTTTCTTACTACTCTAGTAATACCACGTCAGTGGAATCATATAGTATTTATCTTCTCGTAATGGTTTAACTTACTTAGTGTGCTGTCCTCCAAGTTCACTCACATTATACTATTTGTCAGAATTTCTTTACTGGTTAAGGCCATTTTTCTGAAAATATACTCACACATGGAGGAAGACAGGGCAGGTAGTGACCTCATCTCCTTCCACCTGGAATTCAGCTCGGGGGCTGAAACTGAGATAGGGATCTTTGCTTCTCACTCATAATCATTTTGGGCCCCTAACAAGTTCATAGAAAGTTCACCCCCGGCCCCAGATCCCATATTTAGAGCCCTGGCCTGGGCCCAGGGATTCCTGCCAGGCGTCCCTCCCTTGGGCTTGCCAGATGTCCTGGGAGGTTCCTGTTTCCTCTGAGAACAAAGGCAGACAGACAATTTAGACCACTCTGCCAGTCACTGTAGCAAACACAGATGCCAGCTTGCCTCTGAGCCAGGGTCTGGGGTCCCAATCAAAGTGCAGGGCAGCCCAGGGCAGGCACAGAGACACCAAGTCCCTCTGAGAGAAAACAGGAAGGCCTGGTTTCCTTCAGTAGCCTTGCAAGCTGTGTTTCTTGTCCCTGACAACTACAGAACAGGGGAGCACTGGAGAGTCAGCAGGCTCCTGAGTCCCCTGAGCATCGGCTGCCAAGTTCCACCTCCAGAGCCTCCAGGGTAATCGTCCCAAGAGCAGCACTCCTAGGCGGCCCCAGCACAGCTTGGCCTTCTTCCTCATGCCCATATTATTTAGAATTTAATTAAAAGCTGGTCTGGTAACTTAGTTGTGCCCCAAATTTTCTGATCAAGGGGATTACGGGGCCACAGAGGAAAGTGATAGATGATGTGAGAGTCACATGGAGAGAAAACATTCTCTTAGGCTTTCACAGAGAACAAATTGATCAAGCAATGGCCCTGACTCATCCACATGGCTGACACTGACAAAGGATCTACAAACTGCGGTACAGGGTTTCATGATGAATCCTGAGGGTACTTGATTGACCTTATCAGATACAAAGGTTATATTTCTTGTTATATAGGTCTAGCTTTATCTTGGTCTTAACCATCCAGCAGAAAAGTATAAAAACAAAGTATAAAAAGTAAAGCCATATTAATATGCTGAGCTGTAAAAGGCTCAAGTCAACAAATTCTGACATTGCCAGTCCAACAGGAAACCCACTACTATTATGGACAACTGGACTATACTGGATTATTTTGCTGAATTCACACACCTATAATATTTAAATGACAATGGAATGCCCTTCTCTGACAAAACTAAACAAAAAGGGGGATACAAATGAAGGACCATTTTGTATCTGTATATTCAAAATACTTAGGATAGATATACAGCTACTTTCTCTTAATTCATTGAATAGAAAGATTTATTCCAATAGTGTTTGTGGACAGGATATCATGTTTGCATCTTGTACTATAAATAACCACTAAGAAGGCAACAATATGCAATGTATTAATTATTGAAACTGTCCTACTAATCAGTTTTGAAACTGTCTCATTGCTATTTGTTTCTCAGTACAATTATTTTAAAAAATAAAAAATAAAAGCTGACCTGAGGAACCACTGCAGTAGTTAGGGAACTAATTCTGACCAGTAACCTGGACTCAGATCCCAGTCATAGGTTTCCTCTGCAGGAAAATAGGGAGAAACAAACACACCTCCTTGCTGAGCACACTGGGAATAAGTGAGGTGATGCCTGTGAAATGTGCAGCGCCTGCCTGGCTGGGGCACAGCTCTGTGAGCCCTGCCTTTCAGCTGTTAGTAATTTAAGAGATGGCAGTTCTCAACCCTGATAACCTAGAAAGTGTTTTTTTTCAGAACCGGGGATTGAACTCAGACCCTTGCGCTTGCCAGGGAAGCACTTATTCTACTGAGCTACCTCCCCAGTCTTGAGAGTGTGTTTAAAAAAAAAAAAAAAAGGACTTGGGTGTGTAGCTCAGTAGTAGAGTGCTTGCTTGGCACACATGTGACCATGGCTTGACCCCTAACCCTGGCAAACAAAACAAAACAACAACAACAAAAATAAGCAAACAAACAAACCAAATAACAATGTCCAAGGCTCGCTCCAGGAGAAGTGAATCAGGATCTCTGGACATCATCAGTGTTTATTAAATCTCTCTAGGTAATTCTAGTAGGCAGCAGGTATAAACCAGACCTCTAAGCTCCCCGACATGGGGTCTCCCCTCCTGGAAGCTGGCTCAGCCCTTTGCATATGGTGGTCACTCACCACCTGTCCCTGGGCAACTGGCCATGCTGCAGCAGAGAGCAGCTGTTATCTTTTCCCTTTCCTAGCATGGAAGTGCTCCGCTCACCTTCGAGGTGCTGCTCCACCACTGTGAGCCGCCCTGGCCAGGGTTGCTGGCCCCAGAGGTCCCACGGATGGAGGGGTGGGCCCTGATGTCAGCCCCATGCTCTCTTCTGAGGGCCGAGCGTCAGGCCTGCTGGATGATGATGCTTCTTGTCTTGCACCTGATGCCATCTCCTGGCTGGCAGGGGTCTCACCAGTCCCGCCAGGTGCTGCAGACCATTCCAGGCGAGTCCCGAGCTTCTTGCTGGATGTTTCTGGAACTTTGGCACAGGCTTCTGTGGGCAGCAGCTGGTCACCAGGGGACACCTGGCCTGGGCCAGGAACTCCATCTCCCTGCCCCAGTGAGGTCCCTGTCTGGGTGAGAAGGTCTGCTCCCATCCCTGATGCACTGATGGGGAGCAGGCTCGCCACTGTCCCCTCTGGTAGATCCAGCATTTGGCTCTCTATAGGAAGACAGGCAGGGTAAGCACAATTCAGGCTTGGAAGAGTCTATGACAAAGGTCTTGCAAATATGTGCCCAAGGCCATTCATTGCCCCATGTTCATAACAGCCAAAGGCTGAAAATAACTTAAATGACTGTTGGGAGGTTGTCTGAATGGGACAGCAACCACACGATGGTATGCTGCACAGCCAGCCATAGACAGTGAGAAATTACTATCTCTATAGGCAGCTATGGAGTGACCTCAGAATATACTGGAGGCAAAAATTAGTAGAGTAGAGAATGGGGGTACAGAACTTGTTAGGAGTTGTTTCTCAAAAAAGGGAGAACATGTGTGTTTCTGTGTGCGTGTGTGCACACGCATGTATACAACTACTTATCATGTGCTCTATACAGATGGGAGCTCAGTGGAAACAGAACATGTGGCTTCTGAGATGGCTTACGTGGGGGGAGAAGCTGGTGCAGGGAACAAGGGTAGGAGCTAGACTTGTCCTCATGCTCCTCGTCTTGTTAACTTGACTCTGCAGTCATGTAAATATGATGGAAAATTTAAAATAAAAACTGAAGATTTTGTTTTGGTCCTGCAATGTAGCCCGGCTGGCCTCGAACTCAGTGATCCGCCTGCCTCAGTTTCCCAAGTTCTAGGATTACAGGTGTGCATGCCTGGCTGAAAATGAAACAGTATACAGACATACAGTGTACAACATACAGCCCATTTCTTGTTCACCCCAAGAATATTTGCAAGGGAAAGAGAGGGATTTTTTTTTAATAACATCATTTTGCCAACTTAGTCAATTTTAAAAAGGATCATCTAGAGTGCCCCCGCCATTTTTTTTTTTTTTTTTTTTTTTTTTTTCAGTACCAGGGATTGAACTTGGGACCTTGTATTTGCCAGGCAGATGCTTATGTCACTGAGCTATTTCCCCAGCCCAAGAGGGGGATTAAAGGAAGATGGAGGGAAGGGTTAGGAAAGAGGAAGGGGATTACAGAAAGAAACAAATTATACTTTTTACAGGTACCCAGTCCCCAAGAAGATGGTAAACTGCATGCACTGATAACAGGTACTAAAAACAAAAAAGGAGGAATATTCACTATGGGTGCTTGTGGCCATAACGTATACTACAAGGTAGCTTGTGGAATAGCTATATAATTCTAACCTTATCCTTTACTAATCCATCCCTTTCTAATCATATATAATTCTTTCTCTTTTCTTGCAGGGGAAGAATGGGTCTCATTGCATAGTTCAGGCTGGCCTTGAACTTGTAACAGTGCTCCTACCTCTGACACCAAGTGCTAGGATTCTAGGCATGCACTACTATCTATCTATCTATCTATCTATCTATCTATCTATCATATATACATATATATATATATACATATATATATGTATATATATATTACATTAAGATTACAGACAAGGGGCCGGAGAGATGGCTCAATGGAATAAGCGCTTCCCTGGCAAGCACAATCCCTGGTTCCACCAAAAAAAAAAAAAAAAAAAAAAAAGATTACAGACAAGTTCTGTATAGGAATAACTTCAAGAAAAGTTTTTGGGGACCGGGAGATAGCTTGGTGGTCTAAGAGCTGACCTGGCAAGTGCAAGGACCCAGGTTCAATCCCTGGTACCACATGCCATGCTGGCCCTGGAAACCCAGGTGCTGGCCACTAAAACTGGGTGTGGTGGTGCACACCTGTAATCCCAGCTCTTGGGAGACTATAAACAGGTGGATCACTATGAGTCCAATCTAGTAGTGAGACCCTGAATACCCTGTAGACCCATGCCTAAAAAACAAAAGCAAAAGCAAAACAAAACAAAAAGTTAGTGGCATGGCCTAGAAGGAAAGGAGCTATTCCAAGTTATTTCATTATTATCTTTCTTTTTTAAAATTTAATTTAATTAATTAATTTTTTGAGAGTTTTTATTATGTAGTCCAGGCTAGCCTCAAATTCCCTGCAAGCCTCCTGCCTCAGCCTTCCGAATGGTGGGACTCAGCATGTGTGCCCCCATGCCTGACCACATCCATTTTAGTTTCTTAAATGGAGCCTCACTGTGTTGCCCAGACTGGCCTTCAATTTCCAGGATCAAGCAATCCTCCCAACTTTAGCATCATAAAAACTGGCATGCGGCCCCATGCCCAGCTCCAAGTGCTTTCAACACATTAGCAGTTGACTCTACACATCTGTAATGGTGTATGTATAAAAGACAAAAAGAACTACAAAACAAAAAGGATAAGGCAGTTTCAACGATTTCCCATTGGCCACACCATTGGTCATACCATTGTATTTTTATATGAGATCAGCAAGGAGCACACTCACCTTCCCGAGGCCCCCTGATGCCAGCGTGCACAGCCCTGGTACTCAGTGCATGCTTCAGTTTTGCTCCCTTCTCTTCCACTGGCTCTTTGTTCTAAAATAATAGCCATTAAAAACAATCAATATTTCCACCATCATCCGGGTTGTAAATCTTTGTTGAATAAATACCACATCTTTAGATAAAGGTACTTAAGTTATTAGGAATAGGTCCCAGTAATATTAGAAGGTAAATAATGTTTATTATCATTTAGGAATAATATGGGCCCTGAGGTCTTCCCAAGGTCATAAAACAAGATCCAGTTTCAAAGTCAGAATTCAGACCCTTTCCAACCCTTCTATTTATTGCTGGTGATGGGCAGGCCTAGCATGGACTCCCCAGCTCGCCTCACCCGCTCACCCCACTTGGTCAGACTCTACCCTCTCAGTACCTCACACTTGCATCTGTAATCTTGGATCTCTGGAGTGCTCAGCAATGCTGGTGATTTTGTCCTGCCTAAAGCCAAGTGCGCTCAGTGTCATCTGAACCCACCATACAAATGGCAAGTGCAGTCCAAGCAAAATCAATCTGAGCAGGACCAGGGCTTGGCAGGCCTGGGCTTTCAGACAGCCCAGGGGGAGCCCTCAAACACATATTCCTACATGCTCTCTTCTTAATGGGGTCCAGCACTTTCAGGGGCCTTGAGACTTCTGCCTCCTGGTCCTGGTCAGGGGAACAGCTTTGGTCACAGCCTAGGGCCTTGGCTGGGCCTCAGGCATGAGATGCGCCAGTAAAGGGACTTTCTCCTGCCATGGCCACAGACGCCCTGGGAGCCCTGAGACCAAGAACAGCTCAGGATACATTGTGTTTGGCCTGTGCAGCATTTAATAAATGTTTGCTTCCAACATTTGAAACCTATACATCTAGATTAAAATTGTATGGCCCTCTTAGGGGTGATAGAATTTGAGTGAGTGGGCCAGCAAGATAGCTCAGTGGACTAAAACCCCTGCTTAGGCAAGCTTAGGCAAGTGCAAGGCCCCCTATGCAATGCCAGCCATGCCCCCAGGGTGGGCTGAGCTGGCCAGAGTCTGGGTGTAGTGGCATATACCTATAATCCCAGTGCTAGGGAGGCTGAAAACAGGAGGATCACTATGCGTCAGAGCTATATAGTGAGACCCGGAACAACCAAATACGTGAAAAAAAAAAAAAGAATTTGGGCGAGCATGTGTGTGTGTGTGTGTGTGTGTGTGTTTCTTCTCAGTGTTGGGTTAGAACCCATGGCCTTGTGCAAAGGAGACAACTGCTCTATCCTTACATCCCCAGACACATTGTTGTATATTTTGATTGTGGTGGTGGGTACTTGGGTGTACAGATTTGCTGCACTGTATACTTAAAATGTGCATAGTTTGTTTTCAACTTATATATAACTCATAGTTAGTAAGTATTATCTTATTCTTATGCCTTAATAAAACAGATTAGAAAAATTCTACATTCCTTGTTGCTCTTGAAAAAAAAATCAAAGACCTTGCAAGCCTGTGCTCAGCAAAAGTCAGCTAGAGCAGTTTCTGAGTGGCTGTAGACATCACCGTCCCAAAGGCCTCCTTGTTGAGGGTTGGTTCTATTGTTTTTCCTACGTGGGGCCCATTTTCTGCAATCCTATTACTCGTGCTCACCCTTCAGGATTCCAGGACATTGAGCTATGCCCCTTGAATGATAACACATGACACATGGAGAACACACAGCCTGGCGCCTGACATGCAGTAGGCACTTAATAAAAATGCTCCCTGCTGTTGCTATGATTATCACCAGTGCCAGAGATGAAGCACGCACAGACCCTCTGCTCAGCACAGAGCTGTGCCTTATTCTCTGTGGGCTGTCGGGCCACCCCCATAGTTGGGGAGATAAGCAGGCGTTTTCACAGACCTCCTCTTATTTCACCCTACCAGTAGAAGGGACTGTCCTTTGACAGACCTTATTGTGCTCCAACTATCCTCGCTCTCCCTCTGCTTTAGTGCACACAAGTCTCGACACACACATACATGCTCGCACATGCACGCACGCATAGAACCAGGCTTCTCTCTTCAGGACTAAGCTTCCTGCTGCCTTGTCTGTGTGGCAGCAGTAGTAGAGACCTCAGACACATCCGAGGGAGCTGATGGTTCTGAACAGTTTGATCGTCCTTCTGGTCCACCCCTGGCTTAAGCCTAAATCTAAATTTCCTGAGAGCTCTGGGCTTTTAGAAATCATCCAATTCATTGTTACAACCAGACAAAGTGCTGTTCAGCACTTCAAAAGAACCAAACATGACCTTCACAAAGTCCTGGCATAATTTTCAAATTTAACAGCCAGGGCTAGGATTTAATTCAATTCCACAGATGACTCCTGCGCCCCTATTCTCTTAGAAGTCACAAAGAAGGTCTCCAGAATGCCTCCTTAGCTCAGTTTTGAGCACTGAGAGAGAATGTGTCAGATAGATAAGTTTGGTCATATTCACTGTCTGTCCTCTGAACACTTCCTTTGAGGCCAGCCAGGGGACTAGAGGCTTCATGTCACAGCCCGATGAGCAGCTGACACCCGAGTGGGAGCCTGGACTCACACCTGTAGATAGCAATCGATATGTGTACGAGCACAAGGACCGGAGAGTGACCCAGGAAGTGCCCAGTGGAGCTACACAGACAAAAAATGTAGTGAGAACCAAGAAAAGAGAAAATTGTATGACTTACCCAAGCCAGAAATGCTAAATATTTGCAACATGACAGCTAACACCATTAATACACAAAGAGCTCTAAAAATTGTGTGAACAAAGTAAAAGAAAAAAAAAAGAGAAAAGGACATTAACAAAAAATACAAAAGGTTTAAAGTTATGAATGATGCTCAGTCTTTTAGTAAAAGAAATATAAGCTAAAACTATAGATAAGTCATTCTATCTGTTTGAAATTTTCCTCAGTAAAGATCTTTAAAAAACTTTTTTTATGAGGGGTTGGGGAGATGGCTCAATAGAATAAGTGCTTGCCTGGCAAGTGCAAGGGCCTGAGTTCAATCCCCGATTCCGCAAAAAAAAAAAAAAAAAAAAAAAAAAAAAAAAAAAAAAAATTATGAATTCAAAAGAAGAGTTAGCTTTCAAGAGACATATAACCCACTGCCTTGTTTTGAGTTTATTCAAATGAACTATAAAAAAATTTATAGAACACAAGATGAGAAATGTGTAAACCAACTTTGGTAATATTAGAAAGTATCACCTTTCACTGTTTAGATATAACAATAGTCTAGTTTTTAAAGAACAGCCCTTATCTTTTAGGTATAAACTCCAAAACGTTTATGAAAGATATAATCCAAATGTGTCAGATTTGTTCCAAAACAACCTGGACAGGAAAAAAATGGCAAATGGGTGGGAGATCGATGGAATGACCTCAGGCTCCAGTTGATGGTGAAGCTGAGAAATGGGTCGTGGGATTCATTCCACATGGATCTTCTGGATCCATGGGTTCCTCATCTGAGCATGCAACCAACTTCTGACAAAACATCTGGGGGAGAGTACTGCATCTATACTGAACATGTACAGACTTTTTCATTAGTTGTAATATAACACAAGCACTATTTATACTTACATTGTATTAGCTATTGTAAGTAATGAAGAGATGATTTCTGGATTGGGAAGTATATAAGAGGAGGTATGAAAATTATAGGTAGATACTGTGCCATTTCATATAAGAGATGAGGGGGGCCTGCCCCTTAGCTCAGGTGTTTAAGTCCTGCTGAAACAAAGCAGTCAGGCTCAGGATGCTGTGGTTTGATCCCCACATCCTCCAGCCAAATCAGACTTGCCCTGAAGGCAACCTGAACTCCCCCCCCCAAAAAAAAATTCTCATATAAGAGACGTGAGCATAAATGGATTTTAGTATGAAAAGGGGTCCAATCTCCCAAGGGTAACAACAAATGAGCGTACTAATCTCTGTTATAAACCTTTGAAGTTTTTCATATTAAAATATATGCACAATAAAGTCTTATATATTTACTGGCCAGGAAAAGAATTCTAAAAATTGGGCAATATGTTTTATTTGCTGCAGTGGAGGTGACAAGCATTCTCATATGTTATAGTTAGGAGACTAAGTTAGAATAAGTTTTTTTAAGTTTTGTTTGGTTTGAATCGATATAAATTTCCCCTTTGGTTTAGTATTTCCACTGTGTCCAAAGACAAACATCTATAGATATTCACTGCATTATCATTTGTAAAAGCTAAAAATGACAAGCAGTAAAACAATGATATGTAGCTTAGCAAATTATGTCTTAGCAAATTAAGAAACATTCGTCAAGATGTTATATTCTGCAACTTTAAGAACAAGGAAATTTTCTAGATAGAAATATAAAGCAATACTTAAAATACATTAAATTTTTTTTGTAAATCACATGTGAATAATATTTGGTTGAAAACAAAACAAAACACTGAGGGTAACATTTACCCAATGTGCGTATAGATGCAGAGTCTATACCTGAAAGAATTCAGAAAAATCTGATACCTATAGTTGCTTGTGAGTATAAGGGGAGTTGTCCTGGGGGCAGAGGAGTAGAATAGGAGGCAGATGCATGCTTTTTATTCTACATGTGTATTTATCCTAGGTTTTGTTTTGTTTGAGGAAGCTAAACCCATGGCATTCTGCATCATGAGTATTTTTCTGGTGCATTATTAATTTGATTTTCTTTTTAAAATCAGGAACTGGATTTATGTATTAGAATGGTTTTCTTTATATTAGAGCTGAGGAGCACTGCAGAAGTCCCTTCTCCCAGCAAGGCAGACTGCTGGGAGGTGGGGGGTGCTTACTTGGGGGGAGGGGACCATCAGGCAGGGAGGGGAGGGCAAGGGCTCCGCAGGTGAGCAGGATGCTCTGGCCTGGCCTGGTTTGGCTGGGCTGCGGAAGGCCCCCTTCTGTTTCTGTGACAGCCCCAGTAGCTGGCATAGAGTCAGTACGAACTCCCTAGACTCCTTTCCTGCCAGAGGCTGGTCAGTCATGCAGGGATCCCAAATAGCTGCTCCAGGCCAGCCAGGTGAGGCTATGTGGCTGGCCCTCAGCCCTTCCCAAACAGGGTGCTTCAGCTCCATGCTTCACCTCATCTTTCTCCTCCCAGCAGTTTTGATTATGTAACCCTGGAAACAGCCCTGTCCAGAAGGCCATCCTCCACCCTCAGGCTCTGGCTCCTGCCTCTGTTGTTTCCAGGGGTCACTGTCAACACTCATCTCCCCACAGGCAACTGCACACACCACCTACTCTGGGACAAAGCGGCAAGGCTGGGGACAGGAAGGACAGATTGTGTTTCTGCTCAGGGGCTCTGTCAGGGGAAACCAAATATTCCCCACCTGTCTCCCATCCCAGGTGTGAAAGAGCAGGAAGGATCTCTGAGGGGAAAAGAAGCCTCAGAGGAGTTAGAGAAGCTTAATGTGCTCTTCTCATTAGCCGTCATTGTGCCCACATTTTGAAGCACTGTGTCTGGGACTGCCCAAGGCCCCCCATCCTGGCTAGCACACTGCCTCTTCCTTTCCCTAGGAGAATAGCAGTCAGTAGACTGTCTGGAAATCCACCTGTGACCTCTAAGGTTCAATCTCTACTTTTCTCCATCAGCAGGACACACAGGAGCACAAGAAGGGGACAGCATCCCTCCAGCTCTTCCAAGACTAGCTAGCTGGCCAGAACCTCCAGCCTCCATCTCTAGGGACCTGGGCCTCCCTTCCAGCCAGGGCAGGAAAAACAGAACCAACCTCTTCAGAGCCATCAGCCAGGCTGCCTTTTCTCCCTTGCATGATGAAATCCACCAACTTCGAGTTCTGGAATGCGGCCCCCACTAGAGCAATGGCCCTGTCCACAGCCGTCACCATCCTGAAGAGGGCCTCAAGCCTGGCACCATGCTGGGCGCTGTCATGCCGCATAGCCCTCACCAGCTCCAGGACCTCAGGCCACCCAGCCTGAGCATCAGCTGCAGGAGTACAGCTGGCTCCCTCCAGGCCCAGCTCTCGGGAGGCCTCCAACCGCTGCAGGCCTTGCTCCAGGTGGCCCATGCCCTGGCACACGCAGTGCAGTTTCTCTGTGACATCTTCCTGGAAATGCAAGAGTTTGTCTACCTTCTCATTCAGCACATTAAGCTTCTTGTCCATGGCAGTGAGGCAGACCTTGCCCAACACTGGCAGGCTGCTGGGGCCCAGATTCTCCTTGGAGGCTCCTGACATCGTGACTCAGGCTTGACAAGGGCAAGGGCAAGGGCAAGGAAATGCAAGCACCACAGACCTCTGGCTTTCACTTAGGTAGTGAATGCAAGATCATTGTCCTTTGGTGGCTAAGAGTCTCACCCTGCAGCTCCGACCTGCACTGAAAGCCAGGGTGGTGTGGGGAGCCCTCAACACCAGGTCCTCTCCGTGCCTTTGCTTTGCTTATCTCCCACTCAGCCATGGGCTGTGAGTGACAGGCTCAGTTTGGCCCAGGCCCTTCTGCTTGGGGGCCCTTTGACATCATGGCAGTGTAGAACATTCCTCTCTGAGAGACTGCTGATGGGCAAATATTTTAAGAATCTGCCCTGGGTTGTTAGGGGTTCATGCAGCTGAAGCTAAAGGTTGGGAGAAAAGTGCCCTCTAGGTAACATACCTATCAGCTGGACTTCACATGGGGCTTTAGGGATCCAAGACTTGGAGGAAGTGAAGTCTGACTCACCACACAAAGGTCTGATTCATATAGAAAGCAAGATCAAAATGTACAGAAAAAGGAAAACACTCACCTACTGTCTAACTTTTACCATGATGGAAATTTCAATGCTTCTGCAAATTAACAACACTGGCTTGCCAATGCCTGAAACATGAGTTTGGACTGCCTGTGGGGTGTCTGCAGCCCCTCCCCAACAGGGCCTTCAGCCACCAGTCACTTGTGACTTGAAATAGAACATAGGGACAACAGCCTGGGCTGCTTGCCAACTCCACCCCACAGGTCATGTTCCCTGCAAAGCCACAAGGGGACATTAACCAGTGACCCCATGGCTCCCCAGTAATTACTATGTAGGTGTCAAGACCCAGTTTCTAAACTGGTGCAGATTCAACAGGGCCCTGTAGGGCAACAAGGCTCATATTTTCTAAATATTTTAGGCTTAGAAACCCTTGTTTTGAATGACATTTCATAGAAACATGAATATTAAAGCAGACAAGATGAGATGCTCAGGTCATGGCTAAGGTAGATCACAAGAGCCAACTGAGTTCTGATGACACCAAAGTGCAGCCTTTTCATCCAACCACTCACTGGGAAAAAGAAGGGTTGACAGAGCAACACATCCAAGGTTACCCTGGCACAGGGTCTCCTGGGGAGGTTTCACCATAACCTGTGAGATCTGGGGGTAGAGTGAGGGGTGTATCCCCCACAGTTATCCCCATCTGAGTAAAAGCAACTATGATACACTGATGAGACTGGGCACATTCAGGGTGGTATGGCTATCCACTAATAGTACACTCTGACCTGGAAATATGATGTCCAAAAACACAACTGAGTGCCTTTGCTATTTTAAGCCACAGGTAACCAATACAATGTGGTTATACGCAAATGAAGATTAGCCCAATTTCTCTTTTTCCAGCCCCACCCTCTCTTAGGGTAGCTTCAGCTAAGCAGCCCATAAGGCAGTCCACATTCATTTCTGGGTGCTAGAATTATTGGTTGAATGACCTAGGGCAGTGGTAGCAAACCTGTGGCATATTTACTGCTGTGAGCACCCACAGGCCTCTTTGTTGGCACATGAGCCAAGTTGCCCCAGTAGCCAAACATCAGATGATAGCTGGGTTTTTTTTTTTGTTTGTTTGTTTGTTTTGTTTTGTAAGCCAAAACCTCAGAATCCAGGTTTAATTCAGTGTTGGTACTTTGCAATAAATAATAAGGGCTGCAGTCTGGGCAGTGAGTCCTAAAAGGTTCACCATCACTACCCTTGGGTATGCTCAAAATAATGGTCTGCTTCAGCTACTGTGATTATTAAAAAACAAACAGAAAGGCAGGCATAGTGGCATACACAGGCAATTCCAGCTCTCTGGGAGCCTGAGGCAGGAGAATTCCAAATTCAAGTCCAATCTGGACATTTTAGCAATTTAGTAAGATCTTGTCTCAAAATAAAAATGACCTAGGTTCAATCCAGTACTACAAGAAGAAAAAAAACAGAGATGGAAAAGGGGAAAGAGGGAGTCCTGGGGAAAAGAAATTTAGCAGTGCAGAAGCTTTTTAATTCAATATAATCCCATTTGCTGCTTCTCATTACTATTTCCTATGGGCTCTGTGTAGAAAGTTGCTGCCAATGCCCATGTCTTCGAGAGTTTTACCTATTTTATCTTCCAACAGATTGTATTTCTGTTTTAACACTTAAATATTTGTTCTGTTTTTATTTTAATACATGGTGAGACATATGAGTTTAGACTCACAATCTTTAGCATGTGGATATCCAAATTTCCCACAATCATTTAATAAAGAAGGTATCTTTCCTCCAGTATATAATTTTAGGTCCTTTGTCAAAGAGCAAAGAGCTGAATGTATTTGGTGTTGTTTCTGCTTCCTCTATTGATCTATAATTCTGTTTCTGTGCTAGTACCATGCTGCTTTTATTATAGTAACTTTGTAACAATTTCAAAGTGGGGATTGTGATGCTACCAGCTTTGCTGTTGTTACTAAGGGTGTTTTTGCTATTTTGTGAATTTTAGCTGCATGTGAATTTTAGGATGGCTTCCCTAGATCTGGGAGGAAAGCTGTCCATATTTTGATTGGAACGTGTGTGTGTGTGTGTGTGTGTGTGTTAGTTATTTTTAGTCCTTTTGACTATATTGGTTCTAGGTCAGGAAGATGGGATATGTGTGTATTTTCCTTTTTTTTTTTTTTTTTTTTTTTTAGGCAGAAACACTCCTTATTGGGCTCAGACCAGAAGTCCGTGGGTCTTGAGGACCTCCATGAACTTGCTGATTTTCTTCTCCACATTTTTCTCTGCCTGTTTCCCTAGCCTCATGATCTGCTTCTTCTTCCTGTAATGGATCTTGGCCTTCTCCTTCCTCTTCTCTTCTAGGGTGACTGTTACTGCCTGGTACTTCCAGCCAACCTCATGAGCCAGGAGGCCCAGTAGGCAAATTTCCTCATTGGCTTCAGGTGCACAACCTTGAGGGCAGCAGGAACCACCATCCGCTTTTTCTTGTCATAGGGTGGCGGGATCCCATCAAACACAGCCAGTCCAGGGCTGCCTGGCCTCGCATCCCTCACACAGTACGCCAGAAGATGCGGCGGGGGGTATGGGGGGGCACGGAAGTAGTGGGGGCCGGAAGTGGTGGGGGCCCGGAAATGGTGGGGGCCGGAAGTGGTGGGGGCCCGGAAGTGGTGGGGGCCCGGAAATGGTGGGGGCTGTGGGATGGGTTGGTGTTCATCCACTTGCGGAGGAAGGCCAAGTACTTAAACTTGTCTCTGTAGAAATTGCCAGAAATGTTGATACCCTCACAGTGCACAACCACCACCTTGTGGCCTAGCAGTACTTGCTTGGCCACAATGGCCGCCAGGTGGCCCAGGAGATGGCTTCGGCCATCCAGCACCAGGACCTGCGCCTCCGCCATCTTCGGCAGACGCCCGGGAAAAAAGTGTGTGTATTTTCCGATGTCCCCTTTGATCTCCTTTTTCAGAGTGATATAATTTTCATTATAGAGTTCATTTACTTTGTTGGTGAAGTTAATTCCTAAATATTTTTTTTTTCTTGATGCTACTATGAATGACATTGTTTTCTCAGTGAATTATTTGTGTACTAGAACACAAAGGAAACAACCAACAAAGTGAAGGGACAGCCTGCAGATTAGGGAACATTTTTTTTGCCAACTACTTCTTAGACATAGGACTACCATCTAAAATACATAAAGGACTAAAAAACCTAGGCCCCCAAAATAAAAGACCCAATCAAAAAAATGGGCAACTAAAGTGAATAAACATTCTCAGAAGAAAAAGTACAAATGACTAATAAATACATCAAGAAATATTTGGGCTGGGAAGATAGCTCAGTGGTCTAAGCACATGCCTGGCAAACATGAGGACCCCAGTTTGATCCCAGTACTGCATGCCATGCCAGCCCTGGAACCCCAGTTGTGCTGTGTTGGTGCTGAAACCGGGTGTGAGGGCACACACCTGTAATCCCAGCACCAGGGAGACTGAGATAGGAGTCTGAACTGTGTAGCAGGATCCTATATAAAATTAAAAAAAATAAATTTTTTTTAAAAAGAAATGTTCAACACAGCTGGCCATTAGAGAAATGTGAAACAGCACTGAAATTCTATTTTACCCTAGAAAGAATGTCTATCATCAAGAAATCAAACAATGCTCAGTTCCACAAAAAAAAAAAAAAAAAATCAAATAATCAATGCTGGTGGGGCTGCAAGGAAAAAGGAACTCTTCTACATTGTTGGTGAGAATGTAAACTAGTACGACCACTGTGGAAATCAGTATGGAGAGAGCTCGAAAACTAAAACTAGACCTTCCATTTGAGCCACCGATTCCCTTCTAGGTATCTTCCCAAAAGCGTTAAAGTCATCATTTTACAGAGACACACACATACCCACGTTTATGGCAACACAATTTATACTAGCTAAATATTGGAAATAGCCTATATGCCCATCAACAGATGGATCGATAAAGAAAATGCTGCATTTATATACAGTGGAGTGTTACTCTGCCACAAAGAAGGATAAACTTGAGTCATTTGTTTTAAATAGATGCACCTTAAGACCATAATATTAAGTGAAATAAGTCAGACACACAAGTTTAAACACTGTATTACATAGTTTCTCTTACATGAGAAATCCAAAATATAAACAAAGAGCAAAATAAAATAGGAAGTAGGGATATCTTTTTCAAATAGTAAGGGAAACAAAGATGAACAGAGGAGCAGGGAAGGGATGAAGGGGAGGGAGGAGAAGGGAAGGAAGGCAAATGGGATAAAAATAGGATTGAGAGGAAGAAGACAAAAATAGTGATTTTGCAAATAAGAGAACCAAGAAATGGAAGGCTCAGGGAGAGATGGGAAGGGTAGGGGATGAAAAAGAATTCAGATAAGCTATGTACCAATTCCCTACCACAAGTGTAGTCATTATGTACTGCGAACATGTACTGTAGCTCATCTTGGACAAGAACCTACATAAAATGGACAGCATCTGAAGGTGGACCACTCTTTCCCCCACAATAATTCACACTTAATAGTTTCTTGTGGAACAGTACTTCCTGACTCAAATTTTGGAAAATGGCTGCCCAGAGAAATCTCTGCAAGTCCAAAGCCGACCCCAAGGTCTCTCCCTGCTGGTGCTGACAGTGTTTGTGAAATGAAGCTCCTATCACTCTGCAGAGTCTCCAAGACAGAATTCCTACCAACAGACTGTTTCACCACTATCACTGCTATGGCAA